GCTAAAGGTGAAGCAGACTCTGTCGGCTGCATCTGCTCGTACAGTACGTGCACGCTCATCCTGCAGCCGTCACTGTTGGGTGAGTCAGCAACAAAAATGCCAAAATATAAAAAATACAACACACACAAAAAAAACAGAGCTTGTTTGATGAAATGCACTGGGAGTGGAGAAGTGTTGTGTGTAAAGTCTGAACAGAGCAGTCTGTAGACTGCTGAAAAAGCACTTTGTGTGCATGTGTGGTTGCTAGCAGTTAGTACATTCACAGCAAGGCAAAGTTTGACCCCAGTGCTCCCAGGCTGATCATCCCAGTTGCCTCATAAAATACAATTTAAATGAAAACAGGATTGTAGGATTTACTGCCCCAACTAAGACCGTGCTCATCCAAAAACTCTAATTTGACAGAACTTCAACTAGAGGCTCAGTCGTAGCTCAGTGTTGGATGGTCAAAGTTAAAGATGTTGTTTCCAAGTATTGATGTCCCATTATAAGGTGTTAGTTATCACATCCACATATTTCAATTCCTGAAGCATCAGTTGTGAATGTTTATTTTTTTGAGCGACAGCACATGTGGACTCACGTATTACCTGCATTGCTTGGATAAAAAAAAATGTTGCCGTCAGTCTGGCAGCAACTCTACAGCAGTAGAAAACGCCAGCATTGGCGTTTTCTGACAATCATCTCATGCACTGAAATCCTATGCAGTGGAGAAACTGCTTTAACGTCACTCCTGACTAAACTGCTGGACTGAGCGAGAAGTGGAAAAACCGTCGTCACCAAATCACCAACACCTGCTTCTCCAGACCGAGGTCATGTGGCCATGTCTTCATCTCAGGTTGATCTGCAGATGTCCAGACTGAAGTCCTCACACACCTGATGAGACCAGCAGCACCACAAAGGCTCAAGGACACCAGAGGTGTTGAATACTGTTTTGTGCAGTCCACAAAAGGCAGGTCATTTGTCACAAATGTACGTCTGAGGTGTACCTTTTGTTTTTAGGCATTCAGCGTTGTAGGCGTTCTTCTTTGGATCTTAAATGTCTGTATTTTAAAGCCAGTTAGCTCACGAGGTGTTAGGCCTTTCTTCAGCAAATGCCTCTCATTAGGCAAATTGGCAAATCCCCGGCTTGGTGTGTGTGATATTTCTACACAACTAAATGTTTTTTTCTGAAAGGGCTGAGGAAAGAAGAATTGGAGTTAGAATGAGTCCATGCACCCAGTCCTTTTTGAGTGGGATGGACTAATGGTCTAATGAATGATATGCAATATATTTCTCTCAAGTCTCACATTTTAACTTAATCTTTGTGTGCAGAAAGCAGTCCAGAATAGTTCTACAATCCAGGAAGGTCAAAAGTACCAGAACCCACACCGGTTCTTGGAAACTGTCTTCATCCCTGTGTCTCTGTGTTAAAACTGTTATATTCCCATACAGGTTCATCGTGCATACGTGGAGGCCCTGCTTCTGCCCCTCCAGCCAAGAGTTGTGCCTGCACCTGCCTCTCCACTGCCCTCTGCTGGCTCGTCCCTTTTACGCAGTTTAGTGCTGAGCTGGATAATCCACTGATCCCAGTCTTCTGGTAAGAGCAGCATGAGGAAGCCCAGGCAGATGATGAAGACAGCAATGAGACGTACAGTGTTGAAATGTATATCACATGTGTAGAAGTCCACCACTGTTGGAAGAAGTTTGGACAGATATCAGGATGGGTGTATATTAAAAGATATAAGTACTGTAAACATGAAGATAATGATGGCATTGGGTCCGATGTTGAGTTCTGCTCATTCCCACTTATTTTTGTTTTTAATGTTTATCTGCATGATCTCATGTATGATGTCACTACTATCTTAGCATTGTAAAGATAAAAACTTAATATGAATATCCAGTAGACAAAAACTTACTGGCGTTGACGGGAACACTGAGGACGATGCCAAGAGATATTAATGTAGGATAGGTGATAGCAATGCCAAAGTTCACCAGGATGTTGAAAGCTGTGAGAACAAGTACAAGTACAACAGTTATCTGTCATTGATTTATTACAGTTATGTAACTGTGCTGGTATTACATATATATATATATATATACTGTATATATGCAGTGTACAACATGTGTCATACCAAAAAGCAGGCCTGCAACCCCACAGAGGTACGCCCAGGGTATGTTTTCAGGGGATCCAAAATACTCCACATGTGTAAAATATAGAATGATGGGCACAATGCTGAGAAAAACAAAGTTGGCACTTCCAACAATGCTCAGAAATAGCGCTGCCTCTCCAAATTTGGCACTCCCCAGGACCATCTTGAAGAGCACCTGCAGATTAAGGATGAGGAATTAATGCAAAAAAAAAAAAAACCCAAAACAAACTGCCATCCCAAAGATCAGAGTAGGCACTGCAGAAGGTAAACCTGCCAAGTCCCTGCCATGTCCCTGGCAATGGGCCGTAGCTGCCTGTTTGTCACATTAGGCAACACGGACAAAGAAGCAGAGCATTCAGCCCTTGGATGGAATTTATTTGCGTAACAAAAGAGTTGACATGACTGTGTGAGTGTTAATACAGAGAACAGGAACATTTTTATTAGGGGTTATAAGGCTCTATGATCTCCCACTTGTAGTAGTACTATCAAATGTATATGTGACACTGTCTTGGTGTCCAAATCATCTTGAAGTGAAATGATACCAGTTTCTGTTATGTATAGAAAATAAATAAACAAAGGAGGTTTACTGTATAGGTTTGTCTTTAACTGTACTTTTTAAAATACCTTGTAGAGCGCAGACATTGAAGCAGAGGCCACGACCAGAGTGATGCCAATGACCGAATGGCTGTGGAACCCGTCAGCGTAGGTCATCATCACGATGCCTGCTATGGCCAAGATAGCGGCTACTATCTGTGGATAGAGGAGGGAGGGGCGGTCAGTGACGGATGGACAACACGCTGCTGACAATGTGGTGATAACGACACACCAGATACTAGAGCTGTGTAGGACCAGTGTGCTCACATGGTCTCTGCCTTTTCATTCTCTGCAATAATCCTGAGCTTCAACGACAAAGGTTGGTAAAATGCATGACTGGCTGCTTCTACAGTGTTGTTCTAGTCATTGAACATTGATTTTTGTAGCACTGCCATAACATTTATTTAACAAATACATTAATGGACCCAATAATTGAAAAAACATCTGTATGATTGTTGCAGCACCATAGATAGAAGACACCCAGGAATCTGTTCCACTCTCTTTTCTCTCCCTCATCACCTACAGAGTAAAAGCCTGAGCTTTAGCCCAACGCATCATATTAAAGACTAAGGATAAGACATGACGCCGTCCAGCTGAGTGGATGAACTCTGCATTAAGGAGGTGTCAGGAAGATAAACGAGCCGTGTGTTTATGCTTGGACAAAGCCCAGAGGCAACTTGGGCAAAATGGTTCTTTCTGCACTGCGGGCCGCCTGTCACTCACAGCAATGCCTTTCATTTACTGTAAAGCCGTTGCCTTACCATGACAGCAACCCTGCAGGGGTCACTGATTGGGTTTATCAGTGTGTGAGGAGCAGTTTGGGACTGGATCAGTGCACCTGGACATCCATCAGACTCTGTGACTCACAGGTTTATTTCAGGCACATGTGAACATGTGGACTGGGCCATGTGTTCGTCCACACACGTGGACAGAGAGTGTCTTTGTGAAATATAATGAAGTTTCAAAATGCACTCTGTGTTCACCAGAGGCACCGTAATTACGTTATTATTTGAAAATAAGTATTATTTAATGAAGCCTCTTTTCTACTTCTTTTACTTTCACTACCGCACGTCCAGGATTCCCTGCATTGCTGCAGATATCCAGACACTGCAATCTCCACTACCACGCCAGCTATAGAGAAGACGAGAGACTCAGGGGGAGAGAGGCAGGGAGGGAGGGAGAGAGGGAGGGAGGCCAGATCATCACACAGTTTTTCTCTCTCTGGGACTTTCATTGTAGAAAATGCAGTGATGATGTGGGGAATACCAAAGGGAGAGGAGAAATTACTGTGAAAGTGTAAAGAAAAAAAAGGCATTGGTGGTGGTGTGGGACGCACTGTGGTGGAAGAGAAGACACACACACACACACACACAGAGAGAGACTCCTCTCTCTCTCTCTCTCTCTCTCTCCCGCCCCGGAACATCCTTTAAGTTCAGTGACATGTGACTGACACAGTGATCATTGTGTGGACAATGATCACTGTGGCGCCTGCTCTTAACTCGACTGTAATGTGTGTGTAGCACAGCCAACCGCCACTCATTGTTAACATCAATTTGGTTGTCACACACAAGGACACTGAAAGAAATATAGTACAGTGACATGGGATGGGTGACTGGGGGAAGGACGAAAAAAAAGAAAGAAGGCAGGAAGGAAGGAAAGGAAGAGCGAGAGATAATAAAGGGTGATAGGGAAGAAGGAGGAAGAGAAGGAAGGGCGAAGGATGCAACAAAAGAATCTTTAGATAAAGGAAGAAAGGAAGGATGAAAGAACGAAGTGTAAATGAATGAATTAGCAACTGAGACTCGCTTGTAGTTCATGCGGTAGTAAAAGCGTTTTCCTGGAGTCTGAGATGTTTTATGAACTTTATTCTTTTTGCAGCCTGTCGGTGTCAGAGATACAAACTTGCCGAGCTGAACTCACCCTGACTCCCATGAAGCGATCTCTGAGTACAATCCACGAGAGCAGGAAGACAAAGGCCTTGTTGCAACAGAAGAGCGCTGACACGTCTGTGGTGTTGATCTTCCTGAGGGCCTGCAGGTACAGGTAATTGGTGAGGATCCACAGCAGGCCAAAGGGGGCAACCTTGGTGAAAAAAACCCTGGGGCTCAGACCGTCATCCCCGAAAAACTTACAGCACTCCCTGTGCAGAAACATAGCACAGCAGAGTGTTAACATAGAATGTGAACTGCGGGTCAGCTACTTTAAGGTGAGGTGATGAGACCAATGTGATGACTGTGTGAGATCCACAAACCATTAATCAAGGCTGACGTTGTAAAGGTATTAACCTCACAACTGTGTGGTGGAATAACCTTGCACCCTTTGGCACATCATCCTGAAGGAGGAGGAAAACTCTATTCTCCTCCTCATCCTCAGTACCAACAACTCCGCCTGACACAAATATTTAAAGAGTGAATTTTGAAACACTGGCATTTGCTGTGAGTTTATAGTCTGCCGTCAATGACTGCGTCTGAGGCTTTGGAAGCGATGAAACAGCAATAACTGGGAAAGGCAGGTGGCTGGCAGCTGAGGAGCAGCAGCGTCGTTGTGAATCAGCTCCTGGGACTTGACTCAGCAGAAAAAAAACATTTCTCACAGTCGTTTAGTGACCGTCACATTAAAGACCCTCCACATTTCATTACAAGCACTTGATTCCCTCACTGCCCTCACCGATAACAATCATGTGATTTGGTCCTGTTCTGCCTCCGATCTCAAGAGAACTGTCACTGACGCAGGTGTAAAGAGAGCAGAATTGAAAGATGATGATGATGAGATCTGTTAATGTTGGAGCCAGAAACAAGTTTACAGTTTGTGTGCCATAATTTAATTTGTTTGAAAACTATGATTTATATGCTGCAAATAATTTGCCTTTTTCTATGTGACGTTGACAGGTAGAACAATCGATCCACCAGATGGCAGAAGATGCAATAAAAATTTTAAAAAGAGAGAGACTTAGAGCAGTCGAGGAAGATTTTCAATTCCTGTGAGTATATCAGATCTGTGTTCAACTAAAAAGGCTCAGGATTCACGCTGTAAAATAAAACTAAATTATTATATTTATATAAACATATTTTTGTGAAAATTTATGTTTGGTGCTGCATCTTGGGATTTATTTTAAAAAAATCGGGAAACATTGCGGTAGAGCAGTGTTCCTCCCCTAGAGGGCGCCAAAGCATTTCAGGAGAGTCAAGAAGTAGTAACAACGGATTTATTTGATTATTAAGTATAACAATAATTATTTATGTTTTGATTTTAATGGACTGGTGTTAGATGTTGGTTATTTTCACTGTTACCGTGAAAGAATTAATTTTTTTTCATTATTGAAACTGAAAAACTTTATGCACATATGTGTGCCCACAATGTTAGTACATACTTTGAAAACTCCTGCACTAAAGCTACTGATGTGTGATAAAGCAGAGAAGGAACATTTTATTTATCAAAGCATCAAGGAACCAAATCTAATCAGACCCTCTCAGATATGTTGTAAAAATAGACTCACTCAGCCAACAATCTGCCAGCTACATCTCAACTCAGCCCAGAAGTAAAGACCACGAGCAGGTGCACATAAAAAAGAGGATCAGCCGCCTCTTACGGTTAAAATCCTCTCTGCTCATATTCATGAGATCAGCAGCCAGCTGTTTACAGTGTCGGGGGATTTTCTTCTCCCTTTGGCCAAAAACGTTTAATAGGAAGAGACAGAGCGGGGATTACAGATGTCAGCACGTGGTTCGGTCTACATGGCGGCTTTGTCTGAGACTCACCAACAGGAGCAATTTGTTTAAATGCAGGGGAAACAAAATGTGTGACGTTCAAAGCACAGCACAGCAGTAGGAGTTCCAGATAATTGCATAAACCCTCCAAAGGAGGCAGCGTTTCATCTGAGATGTATGGCTGCTGCTCCTTCACCGCCCTTCTTTTTAGTCATGTGTTGGATGAGTGGGAGTAACACTCCACGGTTTGGTCTTAAGACCATGTTGGTTGCAAATCCATGTCTGATGAGTCTGTTGCGCTTTTCTTAAAATTTAATTTAATTTTCTCCCATGCGTGTTAAAAATGTTAAACGTACATTGTGACCAACCCAGATCTTACATTTTTATTGTATTTTAGATACTTTTTCTGAAGATTGGGTTTGAACATTTCCCATTGTCTTCTCGTCAATTTCAAATCTTTCCCATGAGTATGTTTATTCAGGCTGTGTGTAAAACAGTCAGATCTGCTGAGGAAAAACACAAAATGGACTTTTGACGTTGGGGTTTTTACCAGGCTGCTGCTGTTCGGAGCAGTATTTTGTCTTGTCGTTATGTGAAATTGTGGATAGAGTAACGTAGTCTTTAACTGCAGCTGACTTGTTATTTACTGCTGATTTTTTTTCCCCTAATTGTGTCTCATCATCGCAGTGTCTGAGATATGAACCATAACAAATGCAGAAAAACAGCTGCATTCACTGCATCGCAGTAGAAAGCATTCCATTTTCTTCTGAACCCCAAGGGTCTTTGTTCTTTGTGAAACACTAAAATACTAACTCCCCCCACACCCCGCATCCCCCCTCCACCCACACGCTCCTGCTGCTGTGACTTCTCCCACCTGATTCTCTGTCGGGGCGTCTGCCTCTCTGGATTCTTGCACAGGTGACCCACATAGTACAGAGGGAAGAAAAGGCAGTTCCAGGTGGTGGCGAACCAAGTGAGGGTGAAGGGGGCGTCAAACTTTTTAAAGGTCAGCTTGGCCAGCTGGGTGGAGCCGGCCCAGGAGGAGCACACACATATGACCATGGCGACTCCCCACAAGGCCTTCTGCACCTGCACGGTTGTCACTCTGATGCAGCAGTGGAGCCACCGTCTGTTGGAGCTGGTCTCGGCCCCGGTCTGACCTGCGGCCGTCTGTAAGTCTGTCGTTCCCACCACATTCTCCCTGGGACGGTCTTCTCCTGTAGACACACACGTACACAGTTTGTTTGTTCAAATTTAGACACATTCAATAATAATTCATGCATATTTTAACTAGGATGAAGAGGAAACCCCTCCTCCTCCTCCTCCTGACCTTCCAGTGTCACTGGGTGTGAAACTGCATTAATTCATCGGTTAATTCATCTTCTGCTGCCATCACTGATGATGGTCGCACAGGGAGCTGTGACAAATCCCAGCTGTCAATGGGAAAAAGGCAGGGTAGACCTTGGACAGGTCAGCAGTCCATCAAACACAAACAACCATTAACATTGAGTTTCTCATTACTCCATACTGACTATTCAGCAGTAATGGTGCTGTAAAAATCACTGAAGATTTTACCAAACCTTGTCTGTGTCTAAATGAACATTTTTTACCATGGTTCTCCTTCTGTGTTATGTCAATGCATGAGCTAAAAGTTTCCACCTGAGATGATGTTTCAACCACAGGTGACCTGTGTGTCAGAGACGTTTTCCTCCCTCGTCCTGATAAATATACCTCCGTTCACACTCTAATTGAACTTGAAAGTAATCAATCAGACATCTGAGTTATAAATACAGTGATTGGACGTGACAGGCGGCAGCCCAACAGAGGACACGAGAGGACAGAACTGACACTTAATCCAAGACCTCTTCTCGACCTCAGTGATTGTTACAACGCCGTCTCCTCCTACGCCGAAACTTCAACACGTTGAAAATGTGTGAAGTCCTGTCTGCAAAACTGACAAATTCCTCTGGGCTTAAAATTAGTTTTTCTTTCCGACGTCACTTCGCTGCGTCAGGTGACTGGTTCAACAGTAGGACAGTGGGAACGTCTGTTCATAACCTGACAGTTGCCTGTGGAAGCACCAGCACCACATCGGTTTGGTAGTTTTACATGAAATACTGCGACACTATAGCATCACAATAAAAGATGAGAGGAGACAACAGGAGACAACCAGGTTGTTGGTCTGAATCCTGACAGCTGTATAATATGAACCATGCACATCCCTCTCTGTCTCTCTGTCTTTCAGCAAGTTCACATTGGGAGCTCCTCAGTAGTGTTTCCAGAGGTAATGATTTTCCACAGGGAGCTGTTTGGAGATTCATCTGCACTGTGGGCTGCACAAACAACCTCAGCCAGACAAGGAAAAATGACTACATTTAGATGGAGTATGCAGTGTGCTGTGAAATTATGTGGTGGTATTAATGCCACCTGTGTCATCAAAAAGGATAGCTCGGGTCCAATCTGAGTGCCGTGCTTCATTTTTGATTAAGAAAAAATTAAAAGCTCAGCGCCAAATAAATTCATCTCTTTCAATGAGGTCGCTCATTGTTCCTGGAAGAGCTTGATTTGACCTCGCCAGGTGGTCTCATCATTTCACAGATTAACTTCCCTGATGACTATCGCCTCTGATGCTAATGTGGCGGCTTCCCCGCACTGCCTGACTGAGTACACAAGAGATTCTTCTCTTTCTTTTGTTTCTACACCCCAGAAAAAAAAACACTATGCCATGATGTCATGCCTCTATTTCCCCAGAAACAGCCCTGAGGCAGATTTGGTAAAGAAGAAGAGATGATTCAGGATGACCGTTTAAAATGCACTGAAACAATGAGTCGGTGCAAAGACAAACAGGCAGAGAGACACGTGGACGCCGGTCGACGTCTTTAGCACAAGGGTGAGATTTAAGTTTCTGTACTCTGAGCTCCGAGCCTCTTTGTTTCATTCTGAAGGTCATACATTTGTTTGTGCTGCCCAGCTTTTTGTCCTTCCTGGGCCTCCGTCCCACACCCCACGGTCCTGGCCACAGCTCTGTGCTGCAGTACACTTTAATCTTCCAAATGCAGTAATGGGCTGAGCCAATGCATTTACAGACCGTGACACATGTGAGGTAACTCAGTGAGGCAACATGACTACAGGAGCGACAGTATAACTGTCACCCATCTTTCACCCTTCACCGAAACACACGGACGAGATTAAATCCATTCGCTGCTTTTTGAAATTTCTACCAGCAATTTATCCAACTTAACCAGACGGTGACTAATGACACCTTTTCAACCAGCAGTGATGGAGCGCTGATGCCGAACTCACGGGTGAGTGAGTGCTGGTTCAGTGGAGTGGCTGAGAGAGAGATAAAAAGACTTCACTAACGGCACGTGGAGCTGGATTACCTCAGCGCTGACGCCCAGGAAGTGGCTCCTTCTGTGAGTGCCATATGAGCAGCTGAGAGCTCTTAATCTCATCAGGTCGTTATCAAACGTCAACTGTCAAGGTCAAAGCGGTCACTCGGTGAGGAGTGCACGCTAAAGTAAACGCCCACAGAGCAATTTTGGCTCATGCCATATGAGTTAGGTTGTCTTTCCTGGAGAAGTGGTTAGTTGAAATGTACAGATTATTAACCTTTGGTCAACAACAGTGATAATCAACTCGTGGCCAGTGGGCTGAATCCGGGCCACTGAACCGTCCAATCCAGCCCATGACTGGATTTCAAAATTGTGAGAATAAAAGAGAAAATGTTGTTGCAGTCCCCAGTAATAAAACAACTTAAATAACTACCAGTAATCCCCCATCATTCATGACTCTATTTACATTCTGAAGAATGGGATTTTTATCTCGTTTCCTGTCCAGGTGTCTGTCCAGAAAAGATTCTGGCCCTACGACAAATGTAGTTGGGGACCCCAGGTGTACACAAAGTCATATAGCAGACAAACTAAGTAACAGTTCGGGAATTCATTTTTTTCCCCCAAGAATCTATTCAAAAGCGTTGTGGGTTTCAATCTGAGCCTATGCAGAGCGAGAGAGTGAGAACAGACTGATTATATTCAAACTACAGAGTTTTTTATTTCACGTCACTTCACGCAAAAGTAAAATTCAACCTCCTCAGTGTTAACCCAAAAAACAACGTGCCATCAGCTTTTAACAAACTCCTAGAAGCAAACCCAAGAATGAGAACAAACAGCTGATCTTTGACGAACATGTCATTTGAACACATGCAGCACAGCAGGGTGCAATCTTAAAGCAGCCCTGAACAGCAGCCTGTAGAAAACTTAGGCAACATGCTCTGATGTCAGGGTATTTGAAATTCTCTGCAGACGCTGTAGTAACACTGTTGAGCTTCGTGACACACAATGACTTTGAGTATCTTTTCATCATGAAGCAAACGTGACATGCATACAGATGTAGTTCAGATGTAAACAGAGTATGAACATCTGTCGTTTGGTTCTGACCTTCTAGGGACAACAGATATAAAGTAGCCTTTTGGCTAAATCTGTTATATTTACATCGACATCTTCAATCAAATGCACTTTGCTTTTTAAATTAAAACAATTAATTTGCATTTCAATGCATCTCACTGACCCAGTACTGTGCTCTGTAAGGGTCACAGCACCTTAGTCGGTGTTCATATTCATCAGAGTATCAACGCGGCCACTTTCCCAGCCTTCCCTCCATCTCACCACACGCTTCCCTGCAGCTTTGTTCCCACTCCGGCGCCTGTTCCTCCCCTTTGCTAATTCTGCACTGCAGATCTCTCCTGCTGATAGCTGCAAATCCCAAATGTGCCAGCAGAGGCCTGTCTGCCCACCTCCTGCTTGTTCTCACGCTTCACAGAATCTGGCCATGACTGGGTCTCACTGTTTTTATATGAATGAGCCGCTGGCAATGTACCTTAAAAGTTCCAGGAACAAAGAACAGTCACAGGTAGCGGTGACAATCGCCCGGCGTGCCGTTGTGTCATGAAGGCCCTGCAGCTAACCAGGAATGTCTCACTTAGATGTAGACTAAATGGAGGAGAGAGTGAGGTTAAAAACAAAGTTTGACTGTTTGCTGAGATCTCTGTGGGAGACAGCGTACACTGTGGCGCTCTGCTTCACTGATTCGACAGGGTAAACAAATCAATCACTCATACACACTTCAGGACACTTCCTCTTGTCTCGCTGTCTCCCAAAAAATGTCTCTTCGCTCTTGAATATCAATGGACTTGTGCAACTTCGTTTTTCTCATCTTTGCTCATGATAAGTCATTATATTACAGTTCCCTCATGAGACCAAACGCATTGATTAAATAAAAACCCCACACACTCATTTACACTCACTGCATCTTAATGTGGTGTTTGTACAACGTTTTACCTCAGATCCTGTTCTGACAGTTTTGTAACTGATAAAGAAAAGTAAATGCATGAATAGATATTTTATAGTCAATGCTGTAAATGAAAATTACAGTTGTGCAAAAAATAAGAATAAATTGAAAGACAATCACCTCAAGGGTAAAATGTAATAATAATTGACATCTGTCCTCGGGCCACATGTGGGAGGCTCATGGACCAGGAGTGGTCCCTGGGCCGGTAGTTTGCTGTACTAGAAACTGGAGCTTTCTGTATAAATGTGGTTGGTAACATTTTCCATGAAAACTAAGGATATTTTTTTCTCATTTTGAATGTCACACAGCATCCATCAGAGCCGTGCTTCATTTAAACTAAAATCCTCCGTCTCCTGCTGTCTAACGTGCTTTGTCGTTTCTGACAAGTCTTCAGCAGAACTTAGTTTTTTAAAATAAATGATCAAAAGGATAATTTCCATAATTTGTCATGAACCGTTAAGTACCGATGTCACACACCCTGTGTGTCATGAAGGACACTCGACAGTCCCTGTCTTTTAAATCCCGTCTCTGACAGCTCAGTTTGGACAAGCTGTCAGTCAAAGGCCTTTCGCCCAGACACCAGAGCAGCTCGCTCTCCCTGGCCTGTCTCCCCAGATAACAGGTGGAGAAGACACCTCATTGCATCAACAAGCTGAGAGGTGGGGCCATGTGGACAGAGGGGACAAATCCACAGGACAAAACAAGGGCAGGACAGCTGTTACTGATCTCCATCCTTTCTAATTCCTGCCTGGTTTCTCCTTCACCTTTGGAGGACGAACTTGTTGTTTGTCCGTGTCCCGACCTTTGCGGCCGCAGCAGCAGACACTCCTGAATCAGATCAACACCGTTGTGGCTAACTGATGTCGTTCTGGTTAGAGACATGTCAGAACCCCAGCGTGTGAGCAAACAGCAACAGTTCAAATGTGTGCGTGTGCTGTGTTTTGCAGAGCAAACGCATTCCCTGACATACGACTGTGGGACTCTGTCCAACAGTATATCCCCCACTCCCTACCCTACAGCATCCTTTTCTGTTGCAGTCCTGTACCGTGGTGAATATATCACCACTGACCTGCAGCTTAACCAACTGGCAGGAGTCCCAGAAGTTTTGCGACAAATCAGTACCTGAAAGATTGTCCAGTGTGTCAGTGTTGCAGTAACGGACAGACAGAGGTGTACAATCATAGCGTCAGACCAAACACTGATATTTGTCTTCACCCAAAACTATCAGACATTTATAAAACAACCAATGATTTCATACTTATTTAACTTAACTACAGCCCTTCTATTAAATTAGAATCCTTCTTTGGTTTTGTCAAACGAGACGAGGATGGAGTGGTGAGAAAACACCAACTCAGGGGTTTTTACGCATAAAATGCAACAAAGCACGCAGCACAATTTTTATGCTGACATTATTTCCAGGCTTGTCACAATTACAAGCACCGCTGTAGGCATGATGGGAGCAGTGTTCTGTTATTTCAGCTTTATACAAGGCAATGCCACCACTGTAACATCTGGCTGCATTAAAGAGCCTGAGTTACCATCCTGAGGAGAGCTACTGGCACAACTCCATGAATTATAGCCTGGAAAATCTTTTTCAGGGAAATTTAGTCATGGGAAAATTACTGCAGCGTTCGGAATGTCAATTTGTGGCTATGAAATACCAGTGAGATGACTGCATATAAAAGGTCAATTAGCTGAAATGGACATATTAAACCTAATTAAATGCTAGCCATTGGGTTTATTTGAATATCAGAACTGAAACAAACCTGTGCAAAAGCCATGTTTGTTGCTAATTTATTGCATAAATAGTTTTATTTATATGTTTGATTTTATGTGCTTATCTGATCTGTTTTAAATGTTCCATACATTTAAAATTGTATGTTGTATGTTTACTGTTAATTGATAACTGCAACCTCACTGTATCTTGTGTGAAGTTAAAATACAGCATATTATTTTATTTTCACATCATTATAATTATTCATATACATTTTAATTGTATTTTATGGAATTTTTTTAATAATAAATTAAAACCCTACTACAAGAAGAGCAACAGTTCAAGCTCCACTTGGTGGTAACGTGTCTTGTCTTAAACTGAGCAATCTCTAGGCTGCCATCTGCTGGTGGTGCCGATGCTGTGACCCCTTAATGGCTAAAGGTGACTTTGGTCTCAACCTTGAGTCTTTTCTTCCAGGTGCTCCCACTCTCTGCTGTGTCCACACCCCTCCCTCTACCACCCCCTCACCCCCACCTCCTGTTTTCCCTCCCTAGTGATTACTTAACCTTCGTCACCTGTGTCTACTTAACTCCACCCATGTCTCTCTGTAGTCCAGGCTCTCTCCACTCTCCCCTGCCTGTTTGTTTTTCTCACTGCTGTTTCTAGCTCTGCTCTGTGTGTAGAAGTCATTCAAGTCATGTTTTTGAATCTTTCTGATTAAGGTCTGGTTATGTCCTGCAGGAAAGTCCATGGATTTCCCACAAGAAAACCACCTCCTGAGAGTGTAAGTCTTTTTAAGCCTCCACATCGGTTGAAGCCTCAGAATAATGCAGATCTCAGACAATTTCTCTCAACTAGAAAAACCTCCAAACCAAGAGACCTCTGTCTGAGGGACACAGTCTGTTAGCTATTATCTGCAGTGGACTGGGCACAATGGGAGCTTCATTTCTATAGGTGACCTTGTGGCCTCACCCTTTTTTCAACCCCTTGAATTCCAAGTGAATTCCAAGTGAAGATTGGCAAAAAAACTCACCCAACACATTAAGGGAAAGGATGGAGCAAAAAAAAACATGCAGAGTCAGCTAGAATGGAAAATCGAGTTGATTTGCAAAACTGTCACCACTCTGACCATGTCAACACCTACGGCGCAGGTGAAACGGTTGTAAAAGACCTTAAACTGTTTCCTCTGCTTTTTCAGGCCATTTAATTGATCCCTTGCCAGTTTGATGATTTACAGACAACCTTTGGAAGTATGTCATGCTTTAGCGCCCTGTTATAGTGTATTCTGCTGAGATGTCGTTCCCTTTGTAGCCCTGCATTCAGGACAGAGGACTGTGCTTTTTCAGTAGACGTAGTAGTATTTGTAGAAGCCAAAAAATCACTGCTTCCGTTCAGTTCAATTTCAATCATTTTTTTTTTATACATTTACAAGTGTAATTTTGTGCTTCCATCGTGGATGACATTCTGGTTCCTGTTCTCCTTTATGGCATTCATATGGTTGTGTTAACGTCCTGTATTATTATTTTATTGTCTAGTTGAAGGTGCAGTACAGCGTGCAATCAATCTCAATGATATTAGTCTGATTTTTTTTTTATGAGCCTAAATGTTAACATCCTCTGATGGACAGATCAGACCTCATCACCAGTCTGCATGTTTGTCCACTGCAGGATGAAAGTGAATGCTGTTAGAAAACCGACCACACATAAAAGGAGATCATGCAAATCCATGCAGAAAAACCATCTGTGGTAACCGGTGACCTTCACGTCGTGAGGTAACAGCCAACCACTCATCCACTACTAGGCTCTTAATGTTACATTCTATTTTGAGTGTGTGCATTTCTGTTGCCTCATGTACAGAATTTGTCTTTAATATCTGTACAAGTTGTGCACTTATATCTCAGGAATGATATGTCCAACCAAACAGACACCAAATTTGTCACCTCTCGGCTGAAAGTGCTTTCTTTTCATCTAAATATAAATGAATTACCTGGAGCTCAACCTACAGTATATACGTAGACTATTATTATTTCCCATCAGTCCATGATGGCAATTTGTACTTAGCTGCATTGTTGCCTGGGGAGAGGTTTAAATGTGGCTCTGGTAGCATTTGGTGAATTATGACAACTGTCCAAATATGAACTGTTGTGAATCCACCTCGGAAGACAGAAGAACAACCACGTCTTTCCTTAAAGACACAAGTGACTAATGCGTTTAAAATAAATCAATAATTGTCATCTATGGACTGCAGGAAGGTTAAATAAGTCATGTGAATATACGGTGTAAAAATGAAAAGTCAGTGAGTGGCTGTGAGGGACACAAACATCCAGACAATGGACTTTAGAGAAAACTACAATGAAAACATGTAAGAAGAGACATCAATATGCAGGTATGACTGGTGATGAACTGTTTGTGTTTTGTAGTTGTTTTGTTTTTTATTGGTTTTTCCAGCCTCAAGTTACACTTGTAATAATATGTCTGCAGCTAGAAAACAAATGGTGGCTCCACCTCTGTTTGAAGGAAAAGTGAAACTGCATTGATCTGATGAAATGTCAGGTGATCCAGTGAGGGAACAACAGACACAATCACTTTGAGTCAGTGCTAAAGATTTTAAATCACACATAACTCAATAGTGTGAGTAATATGCGGATACAAAATAGTAATTTATTTTTAGATCAACCAAATGTGTCATTCTGACGCTCGTCTGTACTCCCTACCTTGCCTTTAGCACAGCATCAGCACAGATTTCAGGGACCTTCAACAGAACAACGCCGTAGAACATGAATAAATGAAGGAATTCTCCGACTGTGGCTGTGGTTGTTAGTGAGGAGAATGGAAATTTTGGACAAGGTCTACATCAGTTGACCCGCTGTGCCACAGTGTGACTCCGTTCCCCTTTATAGCAGCTGCTGAAAAAGTCAGTATTCTCAGTGGTGCCTTCAAGTCCAACATCTTTCTCAAATCTTTAAGTAACACATATTGTTCTCCATGCACTCCATTTTTAAATAAGGTTTGCTTTAATTTAAAACACCGCTGCATTGACATTTACTTAGCTACTTAAACACTGATTAAAGATAATAAATCTTTGGGCAAATGAAGCGAGGCTACCTTGTTTAATTTGCTTTTAAAGTGTTTTTGAGCCAGTAGCTAATTTAGGGGTGTAAACTGAGAAAGAAAAAAAGGTACAAGAGCGACACCACACACAGACCAACAGTTCACTCTGTACCACCACCAGAACAACATTACAACTTCATTCAAAACCACAAGTTTAAGTGGTTTAACTGGGCCATACAAGAAGAGTTCAGTGTATGACCAGCCCTAATATGGTCAGCCTTAAAGAGGGAACACACACAGACACTTACATGTACACACACACAAGAGTCAAAAGGACTATTTCCCTAAAGGAGTTCAGCAGCTAATCTAATAACTGCACTCCAGTGGACTGGGGGCCTGAAGTGCTGAGATTCCATGTAATGAAATCTCAGGAGTCAGATTAAAGGGGACAGTCCTTTACTGAGATCACTGATCGATGGACTGCTGGTTTCATGGCCCACATGGGCATCTCTACAGCTGGAACAGGATATTATTGTCCACTGGTTGTTTTGTTCTAAACCCCAAAGACTACTATATTGCTATAGTGATACGTTTTCCTTTATTATTAAGACAAGTGCTGATTTGGATGGAGCATTAAAGTTAAACATTTTTGAAAGACTAACAATGAATGAAGCATTTTAGTGATTCCTGTGAATAATTAGTCACAATTGGTGTCTGGTGCTACCTCTCTCTTCTGGTTGGAGTTGTTACTGCCAGCAGGTGGCCATGATGTGATTCACAGATGCAGAACTGGGGTTATAACCAAATATAAAATGGGGTGGGAGGAGCAGGATAAGCTAAGTTTGAAAATAGCCGGTTTGTTTACCAGAAAAGATTAATGTTGTTGAGTTCTAGTGGTTGTTGATTGAACTGACAAACAGTAAGTTTAAGGATCGATTCCAGTCTCAGTAGTTTATACCTTCGTCCCCCAGCAGCCTTACTGGCAAATTCTGTAGAGACCACAGAACAGAGACCACTCTGAACTATAGTACAGCCACAAACACCGTAGCCAGATTAAAGTCGTTTCCAAACTATTTTTTCCCCTGGGAAATGTTTAAAAATGTGTTTGTCAGAGTACAGAGCTAGAGTTTGACTGAGGGGAGGATACCAGTGAAAATAGTCTTTACAGCACCCCCTGCAGGGGGGCGGTTGCCACAGTGTGATGAAAAATGTATTGATAATTGAATTGTAGTTCCATATCAGTCCCACGATGTAATGTGAATCTTTGCAACACGCAAAGGCTGCCACAGGAGGCGCCATTAAGTATGTGGTTGCTCTGGGGCTCAAACCAAGGACCTTCAGCGTGTAAGGCAGGCGTGACAACCACTACACTTTTTCATACAGAATAAATAAAGTTTTATATTTATCATTTGTAATGTATAATTATTCAGTATAACCTGGTAAAAACCAAGACAAACAGTGCTGGTATTGGATCTTATTAATAGACGCCAATAGTAATAGTATCAAAATATTAAGCTTTTTTAAAAAATAAATATATATTCAGAACATGTATGGAGTGCAGCTATGAGGGAATCCCTGCTGCAGTACCAACTTCAGAGCCGCCTGGAGCAGCAGTAACACTGGCTCCAGTGTTTTATCACAACAACATCATTCATCTCTCGGTCTTATAAATAAATGCGGCAAAATGTAGTGATGTAATGTTGACGCTTCATCAACATCCACAAAGAAAAAAAAAAGGAGGCTTTGGGTTCGAGACGATGTTTCTCCTGTTCAGTGGATGCAGAAACACAGATCAGGATTCTGCCTGACTTACATCTACGTTGCATCACAGACTCTGGCTGAATGGCACAAGTTACGCGCTTGTTTGTTGGCGTTATGTTGCTGACGGAATGGTTCTGTAAAGTTGATGTCTCTCGTAGTGAATAATATCAGACAGCTGGCAGTTTTTTATATCAGAACAACGCCGGGATTCTCCCACGCTCACAGTGCACGCCGCTACAGGCGCACACAGCGGCACCAGTGCCTGTGTTTTGCGCGCATTGATAAGTCTTCCTACCTTCTACTTTGGTGAGGGTGAGCACCGGACTGTTGCAGGCGGACAGAGGGGCGACCCTGGCGGAGTGTTTCTTCATTATGGTGATGAAGAGGAGAAGGAAGATGAGCTCGGATGGGCTGAGCTCGGAGCCGCTGCGACTACATCCCTGAAGCCGATTTGGTGCAGACACACCGGAGCTCAGGATGGGACCCTGTGGTGCTTCAGAGCTGGTGTCCTGCTCCCTGTCTCCCTGGATCCATCTGACTCCCAGTGGTGTGTGTGAGAGAGAGTGTTTTCTTTTTATTATAAGAAAAACCTCTGTCGTATCCCCCCACCCCAGCCTCCACTCGCCTCCCCTCCCCAAATCTGCTGTATCCAGTGCGTCCTGTTCGCTCTCTCCTCACGTACACTTTGACAATTGCAGCAATTCGCCAGCGTCACATCCATCAGTACCACCTCCCTCCACCCCCTCCTCCTCACTGGAGCAGTTCTAGTTCTGCTGGTCTCTCTGTGGCTCCTCCTGGGACAGGACGATGACCGTGGCACTGACTGGACGCAGGGACCGATCTGAGCAACAAACTGAGACCTGGTGCAGTTGGGGGTGACGCTGGTGGGTCTGCTGTCGGCGTAGATTAATGGACAATTAAATAATGATTTTCCACGCATTCTCTGAAGCCTCGGTGTAAAGTCTCATTAAAAGTCCCCTGACTCCACTTCACTTTTTTTATTACAGTCTATTAATTTGCTTCGACACGATTTTCTCCGTTATTTTCGGTTGTAGCTTCTACGACTAATAACTACAATCCTGTAAAAAAACAGTTCTCCCTGACAGCATCAATGTTTGGTTATATAATGTGTAGCTCTTCAGTCATAGCTCATCTCTGTATTTCTGGAACCAGAGCTTTATTATAGAATTTTGTTGGCAACCAAAGTCATTTGTAATGGAACTCTTTGCTTATAGAGCCAGTCATAAAATATTTTACAATAAGAACTATTGAACTCTAACTTATTTTTTCAAAAAAGGTCATTTCTGCCTGTTTTACCTTTTAGAAAATAAGGACATATTGTTTCCTAGTGGAATTTAATTTTTGCTAGATTGATCAAAATGCATTTATAGCACCCCCTGCAGGGGAGTGTTTTAAAATAGTAATCAATAATTTCTAGCTTTACTAGCATCGCTGTTAATAATTGTTTTTTTAATGTTCTAAAATGTAACTCAAATTTTCAACAGTGGACAGGCACCGTCTTCATGTAGAACTGGAATTAACTGGTATTAACTTTATCATACAGCATCTCCAATGGGTCACAATCCTCCATTGAACACACTGAACTGAAGCATAGGCGGCCTGCTCTTGAAATATGTTTACATATTAAATAAATGACCCTGAGTCTCTTACTGTAGCTGTGTGGGTTGTTTTGATAACAGACAGAATGAGGTTATATCGCCCCCTGCTTTATTCACTTACTGGTCGTAAAAGAAAGGCATGGTAAACATTAACAACTGCAGTAAAGTGACTGTGAACACACTGATTTTCTGTTCCCACTGACCCTGCCGTCGTATATCGCAACAGAGGCTCTGGAGTGGATCTTCTATGACGTGGAGGTGATGGACGGCCTTGTCCAGCCACGAGACTTTTTTTTTATATTAAATTCTTTCTATCGTCAACTTTGAAATCCCTGGAACTGATGTATGAGACTCACACGCAGCCATGTGACACTAGGCGCTGGAACTGTGCCCCCACAATTCTTTATCCTGTGAATCCATTTGTCATTTATGTTCCACCCTTGAGAATCCAATGCACAATAGCAGATAACACACTGCGGGAGAGTCATCACTGTCACTGGTACAAATTGAAGAGCCCAGTATTGATCCGAAAATGCCTCTGCCGTCCTTGCGTCGCTCGTGCCTTTAATGCGTTTAAGTACCGATACAGTACGTGTGTGTACAAAAAACTCCCTGCATGTATGTGAAAAAACCTCAGAGTATAAAGCATGCCTAAAGGAAGCTGCACTGAATAATTCACTACTTAGACTCTACCTCACACTCAGGCCCTGCCTAACTAGGACAGGCAGCTTTATAGACATACTCTGATGTCCCCCACCAGCTGATGTGGTTCAACACCAGGCGCTTTCTGCAAGTGTGCCTTACAAGTATACCTCGGGTCTTGAGAACTGCCAGCTGCAGTCTGAGTGAGCTCATGCTCAGGAGCTTACAGGATCTTAGTGCGGTGAGAACAGGAACATTCAGTCGGCAATCATCGGCTGCTACGGATAGGGTATAAAAAAACAGGGAGGCGGAAATAGGTGCCGTCACCAGGATCATTAAAAACTCCCACTGAGTGAGTCATAGACTTTTCATCCGTCAACAAAGAGGGGAAGCAAACCAGTTTACAACATGATACGAATGTCTCGCACAATGTCACAAGCCGTCGGCTGACATTATCATGAAGACGGTATAAAACGTGGTGAGGTTTAAAATGCAACATCCTTTGAGTTCTTTTGAGCTGCTGCTGAATCTGAGACTTTTGAATCCATCTCTGTACCTGAAGACAAACTGGGAGCACATCTGGGAGGAGAGGAGTTGTGTTTTATGTGCAGTGGAATATTGTAGAGCAGGGGTCATCAACTATATTTGTCGGAGAACCAGAGTTACTGGGACAGACACCTTAGGGGTCAAACTCTCAAAGAAAAACACATTTTTGTAAATAGAGTCATTCATGGTGGGGGTTATTTAGTTTTGGGGGTTTTTTTTCAGTTGTTATAATAGTGGGAATCACACAATATTTTCTCTTTGGAAACAGTCTTGGGTCGGATTGGATGGTTTGGTGGGTCAGATTTAGCCCATGAGCCGCCTATTGATAACCACTGTTGTAGAGCATAACCCAAGAAACATGTATTTTCTAAATGTGTTTGTTGATGACAAATGATAAGGAAGGATGAAGAACTATGTTACGGGTCAACAACAAGTGCTGAACAGCAGGAACACTGTAACACTACAATGTTCCTGCCTTTTGTACTAGAACCAAATGTGGTCTTCTTTTAAAGGAGTTTTTCGACAGTAGTTAAAAGTATAGAGAATAATATCACTTATAAAGGCCATTTGTAAACATTGTTTTTCATTTGGACCTCCATCACAGGTCCTGTGTATAAGTCATACTGTATAGACTAGCATCAGTATTAACACAGTACAGTGTGTTGAGGTTTAATAGGTAGTTTTTGTCATCACTGTCTTCTCCAGCAGACCAATAGGGTGAGACATAAAAAAGGAGTTGGACTGAAAACCCGTCCTATTGATTATGCATAAAAAAGTGCCTCAGCTGCAGATCACACTCCCAGGCCACTTGGTAGTGCAAGATGATGGACTTGAAGTGCTAAGAAAGTGTGTGTGAGGGTGTGTAAAAAATACTCATGATACTAATGATGTCCCGCTGTATAATTTAAATTAACCCATACTGCTGCCAATAAAGGTAAATGTGTGCATCCTAATTTGTGGGCTGCTTGGTGAAGTCCAGTGACGGCTGTTGTGGGACATCTGCCAGGACAATAATACTTTGCTTATTTGCATTTATGACTATGACACAGCCAAAAGTGTATACTGAGATGAATCAATTATAGTCAAGCCAAGCCCCACTACAATTAAACATCACAACAATATTTGTCCAATAACTTTTAACTGAAATAATCTGATTTAGATATGTACTCTGATCTCTTATTCAAATTGTTTATGAATAGATTAAAATGCCAGTGTTCACAATAAAGAACAGAAGTATTCAAGTCGGTAAATCGTTTCCTGAGGAGACCCACAGGCAGCTTATCCATCAAATTTTATATAATAGTCTAAGTTACACTAAATATGTTCAGATTTATTAATCTTTGGAAAACTTCTGTGATTTCCAGTCTTTTATGAAGCGTTACCATACAGCCCTAGTAATGGCCTAGAAAGATAATCCATTTTATGTTCTATAAACCTTTACTATTGCATTCAAATCACTGCCACAAAAATCTAAAATTGGATTTATCTCAGACTTTAAGATGAAGTGGTGCAGTTAGACTCTTGAAAAGTCTAACTGAAAATGCTTTCAGTATGTAGGGTCTAAGGTGTATGTGGAACTACGTGTGCATGTATACATTTATAATGTTGGGCAGAGATAAGTAACCAAATGAAGGCAGGTTTGGAGCAGTTAGCAGGAGCGCTGGCATCTTGATTAGCAGCTTGCCAGGTGTCTCCACTCAGCTTAATAACACCTCAGCTGCAAACCTAACAGAGAACCTCACATTAGGAGAAATGAACAGGAGCCAGGAACTGAAGAAGTTTTTTTTTTTTTCAATTTCTAGTGAGAAATCTATTTTATAGATTCAGAGCCAGTTTTAGTGGTGAGAAATATTTGATTGTGCTATTCATTTGTTTAATGCATTCTAAAGAATATAAACATAATCTTTGAGCATCAGTCATTTATTGCACTTTTTTGTGAAAAAAAATGTCTATCTAAACAATATACAAATTACATTAAACATATTTAAAAAATAGTAACGTGCATGTTATAATATATGTTTTATTTTCTCAGTCAACTCCAGCTCCCTGGCCTATTGACAGTTTGTGTGAGGCTTCTGTGGAACAAATGCAAATGCTGACTGGAATAATAAATGATTCAAGATTGCTCTCCGTGTACAGAGTGTGGCTGTGCAGCACACAGGTAAGAGTGACCTCATTTAACCCCATTAAAATACACTTGTGCGGGGGAAAAAGGCAAGAAGAGGTAGACAGGCAGCTGCTTTAAAATAATTGAGACCTGCTCTCAATTACACTCATGGCTAATACAGTCCAGTGGTGCTTACTAATCGCCAATGCCTTATGATGGCCCTGATAATCAGTCTCTATCCCAGCAGGCCACGCTTAGTCTGTAAGACTGACTCGCCATTAAATTTACATCTCACTTCAGCCCTGACAACAGATTTCTTCTTTTACATTTGAAGTTGCTGCTAAAGTGAAACTCAAGTGAAATAAAAAAACAAAACAAAACGGTCCATTTGAGCCATTGCATTACTGTGTGTATAAATGAAGACTTGTATGCACCTACAGAGACAATTACAAGCCAAAATCAATTAACAGTGATTTTCTTAATTGTGTCAGTTACTGCAGCTTGTTATCTAATGAACTGAGTCATTCAGTTACTAGGAAGATTTGAATTTCCTTAATGGGATGTTAGAGCTACAGACCTCAGATATGTAATGATACATTGACAGAAATGCAATTATCTCAGCAAAAACATAATAAAAGCTTTCATCTGCTTCATATTTTCATGTAAAGCACATACTGCAGGGATTTAATGGCGACTCTTTGCACAGATGAATCGATCTCGACACCGTCTGAAAACACACTAGGAGCAATATGTAGTAATAGCAATATGTATTAGTAGAAAAGGATTACAAGTACAAAATGCAAATGGAAAGGAAACATTTATTTGAAACATGTACTTTAAATCCTATTTAACCCTACTGAAGTGTACACATGACCACAGATGAAGTAGTCCTTGTGCCCCAGCTGCTGGTCGAAAGGGATATTTTCCTAAGGATAAATCTCCACAATACAGAAACGATGGTATCGTTTTAATGACACTTGCTCCCTCTACTGCCAAGTTGCAGTATGAACAATGAGGCTATATTTGAGGACTAGGAAGCCTCCTGCACTGTACCATTACTAATAAAGGGTTGCGTTTAACCCCTGTTTAAACCACTATTTCACGAGCCAGATGAGAACACAGCAAATTGGCAGTATTGTTTAATATCCTTGTTGACGTCACCTGCAGTTTTCAAGTGTATTCAACGACCATTTACTGCATTTTTAAGTACCAGAGCTGTCCGTGTTACTGAAACAGAAATGGTCTCCCATTCCACTGTAGCTCATATTAAAACTGCACTCGTCTCTCAGTGTTAAACATTATTCAAATTATTTTCAATTGCTGTAATTATAGAGCAGCATTTCCAAAAGCTTCTATCCGCCGCTCTCTGCATTTATATCATGCTGTTCCCTGAGCTTCAAGGTGTTGACACGAACTTTGTAAAAAGGCTCATTCTATCCATGATGCCCATTTCTTATCCGGCCGTGTCTCTATTTGAGCTATAAACCCCCTAAATGTCACATTATGACGCACCTGTGACGCGAGATGAACAGCTACAGGTCGTGTAATGGTTTTTACCCGTAGGAGGCGCTGTTGCATTCCGTACGAATGTCCTTACAGCAAACAAACACAGTTGCATACACTGATTGGGTTGAAAGAATTGCAAGGAACCAAACAGCAGGTGAGCATAGCAAGTAGGACAAGAGATATGAATAGCCTTGATGTGACCCACATGTACAGAAGAGCAGCTGTCAGAGCCGTCTGAAGGTGTAGACATGATATTATCTAGATTATTATTTTTCATCATTTATTTTTGACCGTACATTTACTCCGTAATTATTGACTTTGTTGTCAAACACTGCACGAGGGGAAGTTTAAAAAAAAAAAAAAAACGACAATTACAAACCTATTCCTCTTCATCTGCTCCATTCAGGTTTGAACACTTGGCGGCAGCTGCTTTCACAGAACTCCCTCTTTGTAGAATTCTGGAGGATTTATTTGGCACCAAGTCACAGTTTTTCTTCCTAACGTCACCCAAGGACTTAAATCTAGGCCAGCCTTGGGAAAAGTAAAACTTTGAAACTTAGTCGGGTCAAAACTTCAAACTTCAGAAATATACACACTGGTAAATTTAGGTCAAGTAAATACAATACAACACAGCTTATTATATGACAAATATTTCAAAGCTGTGGAAGACATGTTGTCTTAAAGTGTTGAGTATTAATTATTCGAATAAAAAATTACCTGAAATTATAACATATATGCACCAAAACTAATTTAATCCCTCAAATTTGAAATATTTTCTTCCTTAAGAAAGTAAACAAACTGGATGTGAATACTGATAAAAAAGTTCCTGACGTGACTCTCAGGATCGCCTTAATAGCACAATAGCACATGATGATTAAACCTTTATCCTTTCCTCAAAGTCACTCCTCTCTAAGAGGCTGCCTTGTGCTCAGGCCACCTGAACACAACATGAAAGAAACATGACATGGGCCTGAGAAACCACCGGGCTCAGGAAGTGGACCAGAGAGACCTGTTGCTCCCTTCCACTTCTCACTCCACCAGAAACCTCACTCCTGCCATTACAGCATCAATGAATGATTAGCCTAATTTCTCTGCATTGTTAAAAGGATGTCATGGAGACTGCAGCGAGGAGCCGTGAAGGGCTTGTGCACAAATGAATGTCAGAAAAATTATACTCAAGAGGCAGCGCTCTTCATTTTGATGCTGCTGCAAATCACTGAGCTTGAACAAAAGCGAAAGCGGTTAACAGTGCAAAAAATAACTTTTATTCTTTTTGTAATTTGGGGTAGTAATTCAAAGCTGTAGTTTCAATCACCAAAAAAGGTTCAGGCTTTCATGTAGTAAGTGACGGCAGCAGCAGCAACAAGAATAATAATGTGAGCGAGGCGACGCTTTAGAATGGTGTTTTTCTCTCAAGTGTTTAGACTGGATAGGAGGTTCAGTCGACCTGCTCTTGAAAGCAATCAAAGTTCTGATAAGTGAAATCTTTTTTTTTCTTTAACAACAGCAGGGGTTAAATGAAGGCCCACCAAAAAGTCTGTCACTTGGGAAAAGTAAAGTTCTCCCGTTTTCTCTCCTCCATTTCTCAGTCTCCATAGTGCACAGTCAGTGTTACACTGAAATAGAACTTGATGTCCTTGAGCTTTGTGCTTGTTACAGGAGTTTCATTTGTTGTTTTCCCCGCCAGAAACAAGATTGCTAAAAATTAGGCAATTTATCATCACAGGCAGAGCAGGCCTCATTAGAGGGGAGCGTGACTGTGCTGTATGTAAAGTAGATGATAAATGAAAACTAGAATTCTACCTTCTATTACTGTAGTAATTATACTGAATTCAAATCCTGAAGGACAGAGGTGTGCTCTGTACACGTCAGTACTGTTATCTACTAATGCATTAAGTAATACTCTTAATGTGACCGTTATTCTAGAGGTGTGTTTTTCCACACTCAAAATACTGGGCACCTCAAGTTTCATCAGCAGACATACAAACACAGAAATGCCTTAGCACAGTATTACAAGAAAAAATAAAAATCCCTGATGAACTAGAGCTCATTAGCCAAAGCCAGACTGTAAAACCAATGGCTCTTTAACTGAAGTTAAGACTAAATTCTGAAGCCACACACACACACACATATCTAGATATCTTGTAGTAAATGTGGAAAAACACCAAGTTATCGAGCTAATTTATTTCCACCAACTTGCGTTTAAATTTAAGTGCTAACAGTTGAAATTCTACAGTTCAGTTATTTGCTTGAGTGCAAGTACCACTAATGGTCCTCGAGCCATCGTTTGAGGACCACTGATCTTGGGAACGTGACCAGTGATGCTATTTAAACTTTTTTAGCAGCCAAGTGAAACAAACAAAAAAAACAACACTTAAATGCTTGATATAATTTCAGCCCAGTCTATTTTTCAGTGCTTGTGCGACCAGGGTGTACTTTGCCAAACAGAGCCTTGTGCACTGGCTTGGTTTGAATAATCATTGGGATTAAGTGGTTGTTCTGTGCACATACTTGGCTGTAGGATGTGGTCCAGTCAGCTCCCTGAGGGGGAGAAGGGAGTCAAGGCTCCCTGGCTCCTTCTGCAGCTCCCCCATTGGCTGTCGGCTCTCATTAATATCCACACCACCGGTATAATTGCCCAGTCTCTTACCCCACGGTGAGAACTGCACACAGTGCAGGCTTGTGGTTTTAATCATGACTTATCGCTATAAAAAGTTTCTCCCTCGGCTCTCGCATGTTGTACAAACATATCACAGCTCTTTCATGGACTGCCTGATTTAAGACTCCAATTAACACCCCCCACCCCCCAACCCCCACCCCTCTGCCCTGATGAAGAATGTCGTCAAACTCAGCACTGGACATTGGACTGCTGTCCAGTTCATTATCAGTATTATGAAACCAATTATGTTAGGATTCAAGGTAAAAACAATTAAGTGTAGGATGTCTGAAAACTGTCAAATACACTTTTCTGATTGTAATTCAAAAATGTCCAAGATACATGGTCTGACATTGACAGGTTTGATCGTTATATCTAAGTCTGGTGTTGAGCTGCAGCAATTTTTAGTTGTTCAAGTTCTTCAACTCTCCAAAATGAAAATTATTTTAAATCAGTGCAGTCGTTTTAATCCAGCCTCAGTGGAAAAATCACTTGCAGAATTGTTGAAACTTAAGTGGAGGATAAGTAGAGAAACAAACTTATTTTAAAAGAATTTTCTCCAATTTAGATTTACCCCTGTTTAGATGTAAATATTTAGTAAGTACTCTGTAACTGATTACCAACTCATTATGTAACTAATAATTTTGGTGTTAAAGATGTCGAAAGACAAATCATCTCTGTACTCCAGCGTTAAGTACTTGATGTAACAAAGATGTCATTAAATACCTTTAAAGTCAGGCTCCACTCGTCAACATGAACTGTTTTGTAACGTCATGAAAACCCATTAGGTTACAGAGTACGTTGTTTAGAGATTAGAGCCAGAGACAGTCGGCGTCTGGATTCACTTGGCTCGGGGCTTTTGCATTTCCAAGGACACAGTCATTACATGCACTGAACACCAGTCTGGGAGAAAAAACAACACATACTTCGCATGAATTCAAAATGCACTCTGAGTTATACTGAACCAGACTGGAGTGGAAATATATTTTTCCATGTGAATCGTTAAAGATGATGAATCTTTAGAAGTTGATGAATTCTCTATGAACAAGATCAAACTGAAGAGATCAGCTGTCAAACTCTAACTAATGATATTTTCTCAAAACATAAAAGCAAAGTGGCCTGTGGCAGCATGTAACGACAAGTGAGGGGTCAGTTTGGGTGGGGGTTAGGTGGGGGTGGGGGCTGTCACATAGAAATTGATTTCTCCATCTCTTTACATCATCTCTTTGTTGTCGCTCCTCAAAGCCTCATCGTCTTTCGCTGACAGATCTGATTTTTGGAGCAACAGTGACTCTCTCTCTCTCTCATTCCCTCTCTCTCTCTCTCTCCCTCTCTCTCTCTCTCTCTCTGTCACACACACACACACACACGCACACGCACACACGCACACACACACAACCTGCTGAGAGGAGCAGTTTGTTTTGTGTTTTCAGCTTATTCGCCGTCTTTGTGCAGGGTTAGATGAGAACCCTGATATCACCAGTGTATGTGTCTACAGTTACTATGGAGCAGCAGCAGCAGCAGCAGCTGAGAGTCAGCTGATCAGCTGAGTCCAGCTGAGCATAAAGAATACAAAAAAGGTGGAAACAGTCCGCTTGATAATTAGAAAATATAACAAGAAGTAGCTTCCCTGCTGCTTTAAGCTGGTGTTTTTTTTTTTTACTGGATGTATATTGCACCTACAGTACCACCAACGACCCTCTCTGTAGTCTGGTGCACGTGATGTTTTCTAAAATGGCATTTCAGTGTGATATGACAATGAGCAGGATTAGCACTGTGGCTACATCTCTCCATAATTCAAACCGGCTTACAAAACATTCTTCTGGTGTCTGATCAAATCAATTCTGTCCAAATAAATAAAGTTAAATGTTGCATTCATTGGGTTATATTTTCTCTAATTCCATTCAACGTTGGGTATGGATGATGTTTAGGCTGTAATCAGAAAGAGGCTTTGGATTTTTTTTAGAAAATTAAAGACCTGAGCTTTTATAAAGGTCTCCTGGTTTATGGTTTATGTATGTATGATTTATTAGTATTTCATCTTTCCAAATTTTTTGATTTATTAGTATTTCATCTTTCCAAACAGACAGAATGAGGACAAAGTGTTCCTTCGTGCTCGTGCCTGCATTTAATGATGAGTACTTTGGATGATGTTATCTGTACACACACACACACACAAATATAAACCTTCTGGATGACTCATTTTAGTCGATGTTTTACATGGTCAGCATGGATGGAGTTATGATACACAGTTTATTTATGACAATGTTCTTATATAAGCTGCGGCTGAGGAACAGGTGAATTTACAGATGGAATTATTTGACCTTTTTCCTGAATTTTCCACATGGACCAATTATCCTTGTTAGCCAATAGGATTGAGATGAGGCAGGAAATGATGTCTATATTTGGACACCTATAAACTTTAATACTTTCATTGGGTCAGTCTGTACTTCATTTACTCAAACTTCAAGTTGTAAGTATTTAAAGTTTTCCAAGCATTGTTTCAACACAACTGGTAAACTAACTCTAAATGCATGAATGCAGGGACCGACACTCTCCACATGATAAGGGCTTTGTTTTGATGTAATTACTTTAATTACCCTCCTACGTCAAGGTGGCCAAAACCCACTCTTATTGCTCACCCTTCCTTTTCAAAGAGCTACGGTTCTGTGGCCGCTTCAGACATTGATGTGCTTTGTACACAGCACACCCACGCCGTGGCTTAATTACACTGAGGTAGGGATCGTCACTTCACAACTTTTAATTAACAGCAGATAAAAGGGCTGAGGGGGAAAGAGGAAGGTGCAGTCGCAGGACAGGGATCTGACATTAACCTGCAGGAGAGATTCAGGGCCAAGAACCAGACCTGATGGTTGCACTAAAATGCTCTTTTATGACATACGGTTGATCAAGCACACATGCAACATGGGCCACTCTGTTTTACACACAATACTGAACCATTCACCTAAAAATGTCCAACTCTGCGTTCACCCACTGCCTCCTTCCAGATGTAGTCATTTTAATTCTAAAACTAAAACCCAGCCTTATTTGTTCCTTCTCCCACTCTAATCCATACTCATTTACTCTCCACAGAAACACTGAAAGCAGCTGAAAGCGAAAACACTGGCAGCTTTTTTTCTTCTTATCTCCTTCAGCTCGTCTCAGCCTCTACAGTCCACTGGGTGCAGAGTAAGAACTTCTGAAGCAGGTGAGAGATGATCACTTCATTACAGCAGCGATGTTATGCACAAGAAGCTGCTGCTGCTCTGCGGGAGATGTTTACGACCAAATGGCATTCCTCTATCACTGCCTCCCCTGCAGGGTTCGTCTAAATTTAGTTTGTTCTGGCTGATTAGACTTGGGTGACCAGTGGTTCATTTGTCTTCCACCCGTTAATCTTAACCAGGGGGTGACAATCTCAGCAGTAATCAGGAAAAGGGGGGTGGGGGGACAGTTTATCAATCCATCACTGGGCCACATAGGGACAACAACACATTTACACTCTCATTCATATCTATAAAATGTCCAGTTAACCGAATCTGTATGTGCTGGAGAACTCCAAACAGAAAGACCATCAGTTAGCACTTGGGTTCAAACCCCCATCTTATCGCTGTAAGGCAAGTGCACTCACCACTCTTCCCTTTTTTTACTTGAAAAAATATTTTGTGTACTGTAAATACTATTATACTCTCATCTCAGATAATCACATAATTTCCATCTATGGCAAAAACAAAAAGGTTTTATTTAGAAAATGTTGAGTTTCTTCCTGTAAACTGATCTCAGAACTCTCTCTCCTGGAACACTTGAACACATCATTAGTTGCTGCCATCTACTAGTGAACTAGTGAACAAATGCCTGTATCTAGTATGTTACTTTAAAAGATGTGAAAGGGACATGCACCATTTCTTCATTTATTAATTACATACTTTATGAGAGTAATTGATAACCATCGATACTTGTGTAAATATTGCTATATGGATACCACAGACTCGATGCTCCCATCGCTGCCCTCTACTGGGTCTGTTTTTAATCCACATAAAATGTAGCCTTATATAAAATTAGAGTAAGAAAAATGGGATAAAATTCAAATGTAAAAATTCATCCCAGAGTGCATTTCAAAATAATGATCTGCCCTTTGTTTTCTTGACTTCTACAATTTGGTTTTCAATATGACTGTCCTGTAAAAGCATGGATGAAACCTGCTGATATTACAATCCCACATCTTCTCCCTTTGGTGAATTCCTGGTTATTGATACTTAACCACCCACAAACGGAAAAGGGGCTGTGTCCACCCGTACACTCATAAATATTTATCCCAATACATTTGCATAAAACATTAAATATATTATGATGTTGGAGCCCTCGGGGTATACAGTCCCTTTTTACACTACGCTGTATTCTATGCCTATCACTAAAACATGTGGCTGTGTTTTTAAAAATGTATGTTTGCAGCAAGCGGAGCAGTACGGGATGAAACTCAGCGGGGTTCAGATCTAAATTCTAGATACTTGTTGTCTCCATATCTGTTGGTACTGGTTCTTTGTTGTGCTATATGACTTCATGCACAAATGTGTTTTAGCCCTATGTTGAGAGCTTGTACACACCAGTTCCAGTTCATTGCATATATATTGAAACCCAACCCAATCAGTACTCGGTATTGGACAGTATCCAAAAGAAAATACTGTAACTAGTTAACAGTATATCAGGAACAAGTTAATGTTGCCTCATACTTGTAAAGGTATTTTGAGCATGTTGATATTGATATATATATTATATTGTTTATGGATGATCCATTTGCTCTGGAAGAAAAATAACAAGTTTCTCACTGCTTTGCTTTTCCCTGTGACTCCTGTGTGAAAGGGCCTATGTGCTGGTTCGGTAAAATGAAACAAACAGGAATCTATCTCCACTTTACCGAGCACTTACCCTCCCACCACTCTTAAAATTGGCTGTTTTCAGCACCGGCTTCTCACTCTTTAACCATTAGCCGCTGCTTTCTATAACTGGCACCTGTGTAGTCAAGTCGTGTGGTTCAGCCGAGGCTGTGGGCTGATAATGTCCAACACATGGCATACAATTCCGTGCAACATGTGACTAGTGAGTCTGATGTCGCCACGGAACACAGCTGCAGCCATAGGTGGGCAAGAAGTGGCTCAAGCTGTGTGGACATATTATATATTTTTTGTAGAAAAAAAAAGACAAGTTACCTGGAGTAAATAGTATTCCTGCTTCTTATTTTTAGGTTTTAACTGCAGCTCTGTAATCTCTGAGTTGCATTGTGGACATGTACTGTCTGTATTCTTACAGAAAAGCACCTTTTTTTACAGAGAAGAAATCTATGGGGCAGTGGTGGCTTGGTTGCCAAGTTACTACTGAGGTGCACTGAGCATGGCACCGTCCCCACACACTCTTCCCCGGTGGCTTAAGCTGCCCCCTGCTCACTTTGGTGATGGGTAAAATGCAGAGGTCACATTTGGTTGTGTGCAGTGGTGTGCTGTGTCACAATGACAAGTAGTTGACTTTCCTTCAAGAGCAGAATAAAAGAGAAAATACAAACAAAGGGAAGTGTCCTTGCAAGACAATGCCAAAAAGTACTTCCACTGTACTAGAGAATATTTATTTTATATGACTGTACGATTTATTGTTTTAATTAATTGCTGAACGCTTCAAATTAAAACGTACTAACAAATCAGCATCTCAAGCTCATTTAAACCATTGACCAGTTACAGTCACTACTAGATGATGAAGAACTGTAGAAGCCTCACTTCAGTGTTTAAATGTTAAGTATGTGCTCATACATTTTGTATCAGTCTTCCAGCGTTGTCTTATTGAAGACTCTCGTATAAACAATGCAACTGGCTAAATTTTGCTCTTTTTCAATCAGGCCAACAAATTAACAAAAAAAACAACAATCATTAGTCTTATTACAGGTCATTTCTAGAGCTTGATTAATTAATTGTGACGAAGCACCAACAGAGTCAGTGGGATTGTGAGGGCTTCAAGAGAAGAAAAGAGAATTGGAGATAATTTGAGCTGCACTGAGAACCTGTTCTTTTATGAATCAGCCGCTTCAAGCCATCCCTGATGTAAACGATCGTTATTCCCTTTGTCTGCAGCAACAATGCTTTAACGACCAATTGTCTCATGCAGATGGGCTTTCTTTATTATTCTGAGCAAATGCACGCTGCACACCACCGCTGCACTCTGGCTTTAACTTAAAATACATGTCACTGTTGAGGACGGTGGCAAAAACTGGGACACACTGTGCTATGAAATGTCTCCGTCTGGGTGCTAAGACAACGTGATAGGCTGATCTCCAGCATCCTGTGAACTCCTGCAGAATAGCCTCAGTTCAGATGGATACATGCAGCGGTGCATAATATATGCAGCACACTCACAAAGTTATTAAGCACAAACACCCACACACAGCGGGCTGTTATATTCTGCACCTCAGAGAACAGGCTGATGCCGGAGAGCCCTTTAACTGGGCCTGCATCAAATCACGGGGAGAAAACAACACATTATGTGCTCCAGCTAAGTTCACCTCTGCATAATACACTCTCAGAACTTTAAATATTATCGTCTTCGTGAATTGACTCACTCTTGTAGCTCCCATTCCACGGCTGATATCCATAATAGCCGGTGATGCGCAATATCCGCTCCTCTATGGATGCGCTGTTAATGTCCTCAACTGAACGCGAGGACTTCAGGTCCTCTTTGATGGCCTCGTCCACCACCAGGTACTTGAGTTGTCTGAGCTGAGGGCTGATGTCCGAAAGCCTTCTGGGGCTCACGTCGGGAGACTTGCGCATCCCGCTGCGAGGTAAAGGAACAGGGAGAAAAGGTGTAGCGTTACAAGACTTAAAAAAGAAACAGTTTGGGAAAGGAAAAAAGAGCTTTTTTTTTTTGGACAAAATAGCTAAAATAAGATTTAAAGAGAGATCCGTGTTGTGTGGACCACTGACAGTGATGGTCAGGGGCCCCTGCAGCGCCCCCTCCCTCCCTCACCCAGTGCTGAAACCATCATCATCCTTCACTGGCCCTGCGTGCGTCCACACAACACTGCGGGAGACACTGAACTAAAGTGACTGCCACTGGTATATAGCGTAGTTTCTACACAGTGCACTCCCCATCTTTATTTGTACAGCCAATAAGAGAATGATAAAATTATAATTCAAGAAGTGACTCCAGTGACAGCTCGCTTGAAAGGAGACCAGTGCGTAAAATTGCCCAGAACCGTATAGTTGTAGTCGCTGTGTCCAGCAGGGCGAATAAAATTAAATACATTTATTTGCATTTGAAGAGCTCTTATAATAGCACCGACTTGGCCTGAAAGACCCCTGTGCTGGTATAAAACCATCAGCCAACACATTACAGAAAATCCTGTGCCATTCTAAAATTTCTTTTAGCATCTACTACTAATTAACTACCAGCAATTAATATATTCACAAGGAATCTAATATTTTGACACCTGAACTGAATAAAGTCAGTGCACCTGAAAAAACCAAGTGCGCAACAGGTGTTTTCTGCATCCATGTCGGCCACAAGGCTTCAACAAAAGTTAAAATATCTTACATTGGCATCAAAGTAGTGGGGGGTCCAAGGTAGCACACACAGTCCCGGTGTGGCCGCCCGACCCGGTCCCACACAGTGCCCTCTCCGTCCCCGTACATGGTCCAGATCACAGGAGCAGACTCTTAATGTAGATCCTCATCAAGGCTGACGGAGAGAAGAAACGCCATCCTGCTGCTCCTCAGCCCTCACACATATGCCTGGCCACTACAACAGGGACTGATTCTACACTAACCAAAACCGCGCCGCTGTGCGTTCTGCTGCGTCTCGGAGGCACTGCAACAGCACCATCTGCTGGTGTAACTAAACCGAGTCCGAAATGGAAGTCAGTGTAGCAACTCAAGTTGCTTTGGTCCAGTGGCAAATTATATATACAGTATACATAGATATAAAAACAAAACTTAAAATTATATTGTTATACTGCTATAATACATTCAGACATAAAATTAAAAAGGGAAAACACGTCCAAAACTATAATAAAATATTTTATCCATTATATTTACATGAATGAAATGTGCATCATGTATACCCAACGCATTAGTCTAACTGTGGAAGTGTCCATTTTCACTTAATTGGTCTATAAGCTATTACTTATTTTCTGCAACTAATTTGTTTTATTTTGTCTATGTGATATAAACTAATTACTCTTTCTAGATGGCAATAGATGTCTAGATTTCTTTTTAAATAATATTGTTGAAGATCTTTTTTCATTTCTTGAAAGTATACCAGGACCAGATTTCACACTAATGAAGTCAATTGGAAATAAATTAAAGCTAGAAGATTATTTTATATTTGATTACTTAAAAATATATGCAGTCTGTAAGTGTATTAACTAAATGCCTACAGAAACCTGATTGGCAAAACGTATCTGACCCATCAGCATTCTGACATTGATCACAGGCTTTCATTCGTTTATGCAAGATATTTATCTCTATGCTGCCTTTAATTTGAAATCTGAAAAAAAGGATTCGACCCAATTACTATGAATCAGTTCATTCTAATTTTCCTTTCTACTGAATAATCTGTCTTCTTGAGCAAGACAATTACCCCTCGCGGCTCCTGCATCACAGTCGCCTTAAATATTTCTCCCCTATGTTTTTGCCCGTCCCTTCTGTGGTTTTGTTCCTTAAAAACAGTGCAAACAGTGACCTGAAACAAAGCACAGTGTAATCAGGAGCCAGCAGCAGTCGGTTCTTTCTGCTCCGTTTCCATTAAACTGTCACATGTCAAGAGGCACAGCAGGTCTCCTTAGCTGGAGGTGGAAAAAAGCAGGGAGCCGTACTTTGAGTTGTCAAGTCCAAGTTTTATTTTTAATCTAGCTATATGGCAATTACTGGTGGGTCAGAGAAATATGTAGATTGATTTACTGAAACTTTCTAAACATTTATATGTATGATAAGATCAGAGAGCCGTGCTCACTGTTTTTATTTGTTGTTTGTTTTCCTCACATTTCTGGATTTTTCCGGGTGTCTAGGTGTGTCATCCTGTGTATTTGTGGTGTATCTGTGTGTTACACACAAACACAATCCAGAAACTGTAGCCAGTTAAAAAAACTGAACTTCTATTAGCTTCTGTCACTTTTGCCTTCACATTTGTTCACAAGCCTCTGCGTAGCGTTTTCTTTGGTCTGTCGGATTATGAAGTTCAGAGGAGGCTCTGTATCTTTAAGTTTATCTTAAGTTTATAAGCAAAAAAGTTTTACAAAGTAGAAAAGTTGTTTCTTCTCCCTTTTGCTGCTGCTTCCTTCAGTGGTCAGCACAGTGATCACCTCTCTCTTATTCCCTCTTGTGTTGCTTCAACACTGTTTCCCCTGATACCTTGTACATGTTCTTTTTTTGGGGGGGTGGGAGGGGGGGTATTTATTTCTTCCACTTTGGAACCTCGATCAGCAAAATAGTTTTGTTCCCAAGCCAGTGGCTGTGGCTCTGTAGATTAGGGCTGTCAAACCCCTGGCCTGTGGGCCACCTTTGGCCCACAACTTAATATCAGTATAATAGTAATCTGATCGCCTGCTGTTAGTTTCTGACGCTTTAATGCAATTTCAGGGGCAACAGTGGCCAGCTCGTTTGACTTTAACAATCTAGTTCCTTAACTTTTTTCGTGACTTTTCAAGAAAAATCAAAGTATATTACAATCAGAAACTATTGCTGTGTAATCACAGCAGATCTCACAACAGTTTTGGAAGTCATCTGTTTAACTCCTGCTGTTGTCCTTCCACAACATAACAGACACTGGTCGACATCACCCCCTATTTTCAACTCTTTTTATTCACTGTGTCCTTTGTTTTGAATCGTAATTATTTAAACTCGTCCACCTTAACACTTCTTCTTGCCTCCATTCACCTTTTTGCCCGTCTGACTTTGTTATGCACACGGTTCACAGCCAGCACAGCGGCTATGACTAATTAAGACTAATTACACTAATTCTTTCATTAGAGATAATTATGTTCTCTTCACTGATGGTGATTATTTCTACTTGAAAAGTTGAAGTCAAGTGAATGGCTGCACTAATGGAGTTTCACTTATTTGTCTATTTCTGTGACTCTGCAAAGTGATTCATTCAGATTCACAGAACGTTGTTTATTATAAATTAACCAAACACATATGTTAAGGTAACATATTTATTAAATATTTATTATTTTAGTGAACATACAATTAAATGGTATACATTTAGACAAAGAAAACTGCAGCCATTTACCTTGTGTTGAACGCAGTAGCTCCTGCAGTGCGTCCCCAGTCTGTCGTCCACTCTTCTGCCTCTGGACTGTGGAGAGCAGTTCAAGTGCAACAACATTTTTTTTTTCATCTTATCTTTGAAGTTAAGGCAATATTGATTAGTGCCCAGAGGGGGTGGGTGGGTGCTTACTCAAGCAAGAATAGTGCAGTCCAGTCATCAATAAAGGTGTCAACAGCTCCCATTGACAATCACTGGGAGGAGAGGATCAGGTTCATTTTGCATAATGCAACTCTGAACTTCACAGCTCAGCTAAAGACCCCACACCTCCTCACTGTAAACACTGAAGGTTATACACACTCTAAATACCATGGACACCTTTTCTCACCAGACTCATGTCAGAATAATGAATATAAAGTAGAAGAACTTCTCATGTATTCAAGTTATTCAATGATAACCAGCAGATCTCTAACAGGGATTTTATTGTCCTAAACCACAAAGTATTTTTATTCAACAAAAAATAAAAGGCAGTAAATAAAATAATGGTTGTAATCAGTCCGGACACTTTGTCATATATTTAATAAATGTGTCAATAACGCATGGCTACGACTCATATTTGTCCTTATAAGACTGTTTCCAGTTAGTATAGCAGGATTTATATATATTTATAGCAGGAAAAGTATGTGACTGATATAATATCACTAACAAGAACTCATGTCAGTAACGTCTCTGGAGTGATGACGGAGAGACGTGAGGCCATTGAATGCTATTTTAAGATAATGTATTTTCCTGTTATTTTTGACCTGTCAAAATGCCACTCAGGTAAAATGTAAGCAACATTTTCTAGGAGGAGATTTTTATTTATTTTTTTACCTGAGAATCACAGACCAGCTAATAACGTGTTCTATATATTTTCATTTTCATGTAATTACTGCTACATATTTATATGTTTATATTTATATTTTATGATTTTATTTAACGAAATCTCAACTCTTGATTCATAAAGCTGCTCAGGCAGCAACATAATGTAATAATAAGACAAAACCTGAATAAACCATCCTTCTTTACCTTCTTTTCCCTCAAAAGCTTTAACACGTTAAACCCAGAACTCATTTGGCTGAAAGGCATCTAAGAAAATTTGAAGAACATTCACCTTTTTTTCCTAGTACTCCTCTTTTCTCCTGTGTCCCGTTGCATACTTCTGCTTTAATGTGTTGTGAAGCCATTCTATTACCCCCATCTATATTTAATACAGCCTGGAAACAGTGGTCCAGGTAGCAGCTGATTGGCTGATGCACCGTCAGAGTGAAGTGAAAGTGTGAACTGAGCCTGCAACAGTCAAGAATAAAAAGGAAATACAGTGGAAATTCTCACCACTTATTGTTTGAAGGGAGACTTTGACATGAGGTTGACCAAACCTGAGGAAGGACTGATGAGGATCCAGCTCCTTCCCAGTTCCTGCAGTAGAAGGCACTGTAGTTTGAAATGTTATTTCTGTTAGGACACTTATAACCTTTGAGGAAAAACCACAGTGGGAGTCCTGGAGGAGGAGGGGAGCAGAGGGGGTAGGCTTAAGGGTGTGTTGGTTATTCATATGCCATTTTTAGTAAGGTTGACACACAGCTGGAGAATTAGCAGCAGATTCTCCGAGGGTGAGAAGACCTGCTGATGCCGTCCTTCATCGGCAGAGCTTCACTTCTCGTTTGTGTTAAAGCAGCTCCAGTGAAGAGATGAGACGGGCAGGTTTGGTCAGCGTTCACTGCCCTCGTTTCCATTTTTAGACACTCTCCTCTCTGTTTGGTGACAATGCAACAAAAGGAAAAATACAAGAATGAATGTTGTGAAATAGCCTTTAAATAGTGGCTGTCATGAAAACGCTTTTTCCACTGGATGTTATTCAAATCTAAAGCATAAAGCATGTGCTCCTCTCCTCTAAGCTCTGGAGGTTAAAGCACTGTTCTCTTTCTAGATTAAACAACCAGCCGCCTTCCTTTTTATTTAAATGACCTCCAAAATGTTCCTGTCCTGTCATAAATATCCACTTTGGATTGTTTGTGTTTTCTCATTTACCAGAGGGATTTACGATCATTTGTCACCCGGTGTTCCAGAGGGTTAAAAAAAAAAAAACACTTGCAGCTTCTCTGAGTCTGGAAGCTTGACTGAATAGTGTCGCATCCATTGAATATTTATAACCAATTATTTTTCCGGTTTCTGGTGTGGAGACTTTCTGGTTTGAAAATGAAGGAAGGGAGGATTAGGATATGTTCAGATTATTGAGTGGGCGTTGATGTCTGACACATGAGTACTGTACTGTTTGTTTGCTGAGGATTTGGTCATTTATAAGTTTGTAATTAAACGCAAATGTTTGTCTTTTGTCCATTAGCCCCAACACAACTATAGACACACAGTGCTGAAAATCACACTGATGTCTGACAGACCCTAATGATGGTTCTGTATGGTGGAAAAAAATGTACACAATCACAATTTTTTTAGCTGTTTTATCACAACTGTAATATGTTATTTTGAGTCTGAAAAGGAAGAGGCTGCGGCTGTGTATACATGTTACCAAAAAACAGTGCTTCTAAATCTGAGCTGCGGTTTTCTGAAATCATCCCACACAGCAAGGAATGAAGGTTTGATTGCAGACACAGTTACAGCAGAGATGAAGCCAATGTCTGCTGCATCCATTTTTATTCTCTCTCTCCTCCGCAGCTCTGTTTTCTACCGGCTTCTACAGTCTTTTTTTATTACTAATAACGTCCTCCAAAGTGTTTGCTGCTTCTGGCATGATGACTAACATTTCTTTTTTTGTTTTTTTTTTGTACAGTAATCAATGTCATTGTTCAGAAATTATAGCCCAAATTCCCTCTCAGCAGCTGAACAAAATCCTTGTGCTTGCAGTAGCAGCGGGAACTGTTTGTGCTCGAGGCCCCCCTGCATTCTTAAAGTCCCAGTGTGTACGTCGAGATATAAATAGTGCAGCACTGCCATCACAAAGCTGTGCTATAGGGGAGATGCCAGTTTTTCCCCTCCGTCTAATTCAACCCACACGATGTCCTGCCTCTGTGACCCCTGAATCTTCGGACCGACAGCTTTAGCCGCTGATGGATTTGTTCTTATTGATGAAATATCAAGGATTACACACAATCCTCCAGGGCTTTTGTGCAGAGTGTGTTTTGCTTTCTCTGAACACTACGAGCCGCACACAATTAGATTTTATTCGCTCCCCAAATTGGATTAGAATTCTCTAAAAGAGTTAAAAGTTTCACATTGAAGGATTCACTGATGCATTGCTAAGTTTCATTAGCACCAGAGGCAAGAAAGGGAAGGAAAAAAAATCAAACGTCTCTTGCAGGTTTTATGCACAAGGCTGAATTCTTTTATCTTCACGGCTCAGGCTCATGTACCTTCTCATCAAGTGTGTGAATGATGCAAGAAGATCAGAGAGCATTATACATGACAACAAGCGGCTGGTGTGTAGGGCAGTGTCTCGGGGGAGAGTTCATGTCTGTACTGATGGTAGTCCTGACTGACAGCTTAGTGACAAAGAGTGACAGATGCCCTGTATAGTGTGCGTGTGTGTGTTTAATACAAATAAAGACAAGCTAAGGACAGACACATGAGTTCGTTAGAGGACGTACTCTGATATTATTTTGTTTTTATTATGGAGAAATTAGATTAGTAGAAGCAACAAATAATTATAATATTATAATTGTTTTTCTTACTATCATAATTTTTTAAGGGCTTGTAGCATCACCCCCTCCAGCAGATGGCATACTACGACACCACCGGCTGTCAAGCTCTGTCTCCATATGTAACCCAGTGACAGACTGGTGAACTGGCTAGGATGAAGCCCACTCTCCCACAATGACTGTTGCAATTGGCTTCAGCCCACACCCCACAACCTGCGTCCTTGAAAAGGTAGAAGATAAATGATTTATAGATCTGTATGCTAAAAACTATATTGTGGGCTTCCTACATGACACTTTTATATATAATATAATAAAATAATATTATATAATATATATTCAGAAATTAGTGGCGCTTTGGCCCAGAGGCAATGTCTCTGTCATTGGTGTGGAACCCCAGGGTTCACCTCCTGGGCAAGTTCGAATCCCGGTTAGGGCGGTTAATACCTTCCAGTGGACTCACCACCCGCAGGAAGGTTTGGTACGGTGCAATGTGATTTGGGTGGCGACTGATTGATGAAATATCAAGGATTACACACAATCCTCCAGGGCTTTTGTGCAGAGTGTGTTTTGCTTTCTCTGAACACTACGAGCCGCACACAATTAGATTTTATTCGCTCCCCAAATTGGATTAGAATTCTCTAAAAGAGTTAAAAGTTTCACATTGAAGGATTCACTGATGCATTGCTAAGTTTCATTAGCACCAGAGGCAAGAAAGGGAAGGAAAAAAAATCAAACGTCTCTTGCAGGTTTTATGCACAAGGCTGAATTCTTTTATCTTCACGGCTCAGGCTCATGTACCTTCTCATCAAGTGTGTGAATGATGCAAGAAGATCAGAGAGCATTATACATGACAACAAGCGGCTGGTGTGTAGGGCAGTGTCTCGGGGGAGAGTTCATGTCTGTACTGATGGTAGTCCTGACTGACAGCTTAGTGACAAAGAGTGACAGATGCCCTGTATAGTGTGCGTGTGTGTGTTTAATACAAATAAAGACAAGCTAAGGACAGACACATGAGTTCGTTAGAGGACGTACTCTGATATTATTTTGTTTTTATTATGGAGAAATTAGATTAGTAGAAGCAACAAATAATTATAATATTATAATTGTTTTTCTTACTATCATAATTTTTTAAGGGCTTGTAGCATCACCCCCTCCAGCAGATGGCATACTACGACACCACCGGCTGTCAAGCTCTGTCTCCATATGTAACCCAGTGACAGACTGGTGAACTGGCTAGGATGAAGCCCACTCTCCCACAATGACTGTTGCAATTGGCTTCAGCCCACACCCCACAACCTGCGTCCTTGAAAAGGTAGAAGATAAATGATTTATAGATCTGTATGCTAAAAACTATATTGTGGGCTTCCTACATGACACTTTTATATATAATATAATAAAATAATATTATATAATATATATTCAGAAATTAGTGGCGCTTTGGCCCAGAGGCAATGTCTCTGTCATTGGTGTGGAACCCCAGGGTTCACCTCCTGGGCAAGTTCGAATCCCGGTTAGGGCGGTTGGTACCTTCCAGTGGACTCACCACCCGCAGGAAGGTTTGGTACGGTGCAATGTGATTTGGGTGGCGACTGCTGCCCCCGCGACCCGGTAACGGATAAGCGGATGAAAATGGATGGATGGATGGATGGATATTCAGAAATTGTGTTAAATAATCATTGCTTTATCTGTAAAAAATAGCTCCAGTGTCCCCTGAAGCCTTGGACAAGTACTTCTTTAAAGAGGAGATCCTTGTCCCATTATCTTGTAATTCTGTTTAACCTGTGTAAATAGATTCAAATGGGCAACAAACATGTTGCTATTTGTTGCTAACACTGAATATATTTGCTTTTCTACCAAAGCTGTCTGTTTGACACCCTTTGGTGCTTATGTCCAATCACTGCGCGCACAGAAAGAATTGTGTTGTGTTTGTGTGTTTACCACCTTCACTGGGTAAACACCTCACCACAAGCTGTTTTCCTCTCTTATATTTTCAGGTTGTTAAGCATGATTAACACAGGCCTGTTCTTAATGATGGTACAAATCGACGACTTTGCTAAGCCATATTGTAAAACCAGATCTGAAACACAAGCGCTATTCTCATGTTTTTGTATAACCTATCTTCACTTCTATTGCTGTTCTTGCTACTTTTCTTTTCGCCTTTCTATTTTCACCAGCTTTTTTAAATATATAAAAGAAATAGTCAGACAACAGTTCTTAGCATGTATATCCCGAGCACAGAGCGACACCATACGTTCAGTCACTCAGTGATCATTGCTGCCCGCCTGATATTGTTGGCTTGTTAAGCAATTCTTGGTTAAAAGTTGTGTTTGTGAACCAAATTGTTCGAAAAGAACATACATACACTAAATACAGTTATATATAAAGATATTTGTTAATGTAAGAATTATAATAAAATGACCACCAACATGCAGATGAAGCAATAAAACAACACTTTATTTAAGACACAGCAAAATGGTACAGTCCATGAATTATGTTGAAATGAAGTTTATAGAAAAAGCTCATTACTGCGGGTTTTATCCTGTACAATATTTGTGCTAAGACACTATAAATACTTCACTGTGCACAAGTATCACAGTATGTGAAGCAGAACACGAACGTATGTACAAAAATCCCCGTAGCAAATTTTCCAAACATGTTTGCTCCCTGAACGAAAATAACAAAGTAAGTACCTTTTCACCTTGACAGTCTTAACCTTGAGGACAAACTCTCAAAGCCATGGTTAAAGCGTCAACACTGAGTACTCAACATGAACATTATCTACAGGACTGGACTTTTTATGTTGTCGTCCTAACAATATGAACAGTGTCACTGCGTTACTGTTTGCATTAAATAGTTAAACTTCTATCCTACAGAGAAACACAGAGTAACAGATGAGTGAGTGATGCTGACTCAGTCTCACCTGCACACTCTGTTTTAAATAAACCTACTTTAGGCCTCCAATGTCACAGCAGCAACACAGACACAACAAAACACACACACGTATTACATTCAAGACTTTACAAAACACTGAAAACACTGCATCTACAGTATGTGCTGACGTAGCAGGAGAGGTCAGAAATTCAGCAGCAAACGTAAAGAAATTATTTCGATATGTAAAAAACGTGAAGTACTAATGGAATGGTTTCAGTATCTACCTGCTAGAAACGGTTCTCTCGTCTTCCAGGGTTCAATATCACAGGTTTAAAGGGGTCAGGGTAAAAACCTTTAAAAATCAACCTTTTTGTTTTTTATATAAAATTAGATTTAAAAACATTTCAACTGAAACCGTACTCCTTGCTGCTTGCTGTCGCCCTTAACGTACGTACTCTTGGCACATGAGTACCAACGCTTTTTTTGTAAACCTTTCATACTCCTCTTCTAAAAAAGCTTTTAAAGTCAGGCCACGTGAATACAGTAAAATAGTTTCTGTTCAAGTTTAGAGAAACAGTCAAAGCTTCCACAGAAGACGTTAAGTCACATTTAACTTTAAAGAAAAACCAACTGTCAGGACGGCATCCCTTTCATTTCCTTTGAGAGAAATTCCATTTCTCTGTTTTCTGCAGTACTATCTGGTTCCAGCACGTGTGCTAAGTGCACTCTTTTTACTGACTGCACAATGTTCAGTTCCCTTTTCAAACCACCGCCTGTTTCCCTCTTGACACAGTGCAGCACACATTCAGCCTCTCAGGTGCATCAATAATTTATAGTGCACGGTTGGACAAAACTGAAACACAAATGGATGTTTCACCTCATAATAAAATGTCACATAATATCAAGTAGAGGATAAGTTGGTGAAGCTGAGCCAAATGATTCAACAGGTGTCAACCTGATCTTTGAAAACCACACCAGCATTTCCAGTTTTCCTGTAAGTCTAGTCTCAAATGACAATACGTTTCTCTAGTGGTTTTATGACTGTGGCTGCGGTTTGGCTCATCACTAGGTGTTTTAATAATTTATAATTTAACATTTTAAACCCTAATAATGTACATTCTACATACAGTTAAAATAAACACACATTTCTGTGCCTTGTGGTCACACATTATTCACAGCTATGCTAGACTGAAGAGACCAACTACGTCCTAGAAATGTGTCGACCAAATGTCATAAATAATACAGCAGATAAAGAAGTTTCGCTCCTTAATCTCGTAAAGGCAGGTTAAACTTTAAGGACTTAGAGGGTGACTTTTAGATATTTCTAAATGTATGCACATAAATTTACTCTGTTGCAAAGCTGTGTTCTCTTATTAAATTGTTGTTTGTTTGTTTTTTTTTAGCTAACTACTTGGAGCTAAGGGCTGGGCTTTGCAGACTCTGCATCTAGTGGTCTTCACTGTATCATGGGGTCATCGTTGGGAGAGGCCAGAGTAGGAACACTGACGAACTGATGGCTCTTGCCGTCCCTCGGGCCCAGGACACTTTCAGGTACGGTGGTGAAGGAGAGGTGGTCGTGTTCCAGAATGACCAGGTGGTCCTGGGGCTTCTCCTTCTTTAGGTAGAACATCTTCCTCAGCTGCTTGAGCTGCTGCAGCTCACAGAAGGTCTCCAACACCACCAGCATGACGATCAGCCCCAGAATCAGGTAAACTAAACAGAGAAAACACTGAAGGTTGTAACGACCTTGTGAGGAAGTATAGAATAAACGACTAAAGCAGTTACATTTCTCACAGCACACCATGGTAGCTGTTGTAAGCTATTTTCAACTGTGTTCAAGCGGTTCAATTATGCTCCATTGGTTTGACAGACAGCAATGACATCACTGCCACTGTTAATGTAGCGTGACTAGGAGAAAGTGTGTACAACTGTGTAAGCTTCCTTTGCACAAACACACTTTTTTTTTATCACAGCCATTGTTCCCCACACTGTGCCGTGTCACTGATGTGTCTGGGGCTGACTCGGACCACACGCCCACACCAAACATGCAGGTGACAGTTCACTAAATCTACACAGTTCCAGCTCCCCAGAATTCATAATTAATCAATTACATGCTTTTCTTGATTGTGGCGGTTTCAAAAGACTATTTCAACAGTAGAATTTTGTAACGTGAAAAACATCACTCATGGTTATTCTTATCATTCTATGTAAGTGAACCAGCGTGAGTTCACTGATTTATAAAAGATGAGTGAATTAAAGCTGATGCAATTATGAAATATCATCAGCAGACACAGATAAGCAGCTGCATTCTGCTTAATTTTTTTTTTTTCCTAGTCATTCGTTTTAAATTAAACTGGTATATTTATATAGTGTACAGACAAGCCTTTGCTTTACAAGGGAACAGAACACACCCAGCTGCTTATGTCAATGATCAAAGTCCAACAACACTGAACTTGAGCTGAAAGTAATAATCTTGTGTGAATGACCATAACATCACCTCTGATATTTTGCAACTATTTAAAGAGTGGCACAAATGTAATGGTGTGAATTTTTTAATTGTTAAATTATTTACAGAAGGGGAAAGGGCCTGGTCTGCTTGTGCAAACACATAAAAAGTAATTTCCTCTTTCAGATAGGAAGCATCAGAATTTAGATTTAAATTCACAGCTGCTCCTGTCTCCCTGCAGATCGATGTCCAATCAAGAAAGCACCAAATGTAAGGTGATTTTGTCGAGAATGTTACTTTTTTTAACCGTACATGTGAAATTATCTCAACATTATAGCAAATGATTGATATTATGGTCAGCACAAACTTGATAAGCCAATCCCGAACAAACCCGGCAGCACTCACCAGTGATTCCCACTTTGTAAAGCTCCCTGAACTTCTGGTTCGCAGCCTCTCCGGGCACATAGTCTCCCAGACCGATGGTGCTGAGGGAAATGAAACAGAAGTAGAAGGACTCCAGGAAGTTCCAGTTATCCTCCAGAGCCGAGAAGATTGAGGAAGAAGCAGGACACGGCCAACGTGGCGAGCAGAGTGGCGTGAACAATGCCTACCAGGGGTTTAGATAGGCCCCAGCGTGTGTGTATGTACATGATGGGCCTCCTGGTGCTGAACACCATGATCCTCTGCACCACAGCAGTGAGGAAGAGGAGGGTGAAGGGGATGCCGATCACTGAGTAGATGATGCAGAAGGCCTTGCCGCCGTCGGACAGGGGAGCTGTGTGGCCATATCCTGCACAGAAACCATTGTTTAGGTTTCATATAAAAAAACAAGGAAACTGAAATGACTCTGATTGGATGATATAAAAGAAGATAAAGACGTCATAAATAGGTCTGCAACCTTCAAAACCAAGAGCCATTTTATGGTCAACAAGAGTCACTAAAACCTTTCAACCATTTAAAATGTAATAGTGCAGTTTATAAAATGTATTTAAATCCTGTAGTTATACTACAGATCCAGATAAAGAGGACAGTGCAACCTGGAATTTTAGTTCAACTATGTTCTACAGTATCTGCAGATATAAAAAAAAAGCCAAAAATGTACAAACATTATGTGAAATATATGTAGAAAAGACCCTGACTTTGTTTTATTCAATATCACTTTAATGATGTTCCCATCTCGTGTGAGTAGACTTTGTATTTGCAAAGTTTAAGACTATTTGTCTTTCCACTTTACCTCGAGGGTTTTTCTTTTGACTTTCATGTTGTAGTGTAAAAAATTCATTATGACAGATGTCTGCGTCATCACATACAGTAAAACACTTGATTCACTTACTGAAGACAGGAGTTCCTAATTATTGTTGGGAAACAAACAAGCATGCAGAACCAAAAAACTATACAACACAAGAGTTGATAAACATAAGGATAGACAACATAATTCTTAACAAAAAATTTGCATACAGGTGTATTAGGACTACAAAGTGCAGCCTTATTGTTATGTTTTTGGCTTGTGGCTGAGTAATTCCTTTTTTTTTTCTGCTGAGAATAACATGTTCTCATGAAGTGGCATTAGCATGAGTGTCCAAAATACCACAACTGTACATGACAAACCGAACAGCTGCTCATTTGCATCAGCAATATGTCATTAAGGCACAAAAACACCTGCATCTGCTTGATATTACTTGGTGCGCAGTTTGACATGTGGAACTTAAGAGTGAATTTATGATGGCATTCAATTCCCTGGCCTTTAAATGCCTACGGTGAGAACTACTAAAGGTAATGTGCTGTAAAATTGTCTCCCTGGTTTATGTAGTAACTGCTTTGTCTGCTCAGCCACTCAGGTATGACTAAATATCCAACAATTACAGTAAGCAGATGTAAAAAATACTACTCCAATAAAACCAACAAGGAAATCCACTCCTGACAGAATCATGTTGTGACTTTAAAAATGACACTGACGAGGTAGTGCCGGCTGTCGGCCACTGTGCATCTGCACAATCTCCCATGTGGAAATCTCTCAGATAAGCAGTGCTATGTTGTCAGGCTAAAGTTCTTTAAACAAAATATGTATGCGGATGGGGCAGTATCTCCAGATCTCTGTACAGTACATTTGACTCTTTGCATAATATCGTGCAAAGCTTTTCAAATATCCAGAGACTAGACTAAATGAAGGTGAAGGAATGTTGACATATGTACCTGTTTGGCTAATCCTGTCTTTCAAGTTGGATTAACGATTCTGCTCTTTTCTGCAATAATGTTATACAATGAAGTACAGTCGGAGACTGCTGGGTGGAATACTAAATACATGGAATACATGCTCAATGCATACTGCATATACAGTGTTTCCTGAATAGAACAGCAACTGATTATCCTGCTGATTACCAGTAGTTCAAATCTGTCCTCTGTGGAGGACATTTGTAAACCATTTGTAAACTACAGAGGGCCTGCCAAGTTGATGACAAACATGCTGGCAATTGGAGTTGGACAATCTTCGAATGTTTTCTTTTTTCCAGTGAAGAACAGCAACACTGCAAAAAATTGCTTCAATTTCCTTGATTCCTGAAGCTTTCATTCATTTCATTGGTGCTTGACACTGCCCTTTTCATGGCGTGTTTAACAGACATCTATTCAGCTGTTACTTTCTGTTTCCTCCTCCTTTAGTCTCACGCACTACTGGGCAGTGCCGGTAGAAGGGAGTTTGATGAAATATTTGTGGTTTGAAAAAATAATATTACAATAAGTGCCTGATGAGCTTGATGACAAATACACAATGTACAATTTGTACAGTAGGTGATGTCACACTGGCTTTTAGAGCTTAGCAGCTTCTAAGTGTTGAGATATTTAGGTGTACAGTAGGAATAGAGAGACAGCCCTTGCGAGGTTAGGTTATTATTTTGAATTTGTCACACTCACAGGTCATGATATACTGTACATTCTAAACTGTTTGCTTGTTGTTGTTGTTGTAAGGAAAACTTTTTAATTACTGCAACAAGAGTGGAATATTTGGACCACATATTAAGCTGTGGAGTCTACTGATTGCACACTGGGCGAAGAGACGACATGTCTGAGGCAGCATAGGATTGGTAACATCCTGAGGTTGTGACAACAAATACAGCACAGATCATGGAGTTAGATGGAACTGTACACCTCCAAAATAATGGGACAAAGAGAATAAAATTAGACCGTATTTTGAAACATTAACCACACTCTAATTCAGTGTTATTAACCCTGCATTATTAGAGTTGCATCACTGGTATTAGGTTTATTTTCCATCTGTAAAGCAACGTCAATCAATTACAAATTAACTTATTAAAGTAATGTAAGATTATATGAAGTAAAATTCAACGTTGCATATTTCAGTGTGTTGCAATGTGACATAAAGCACACGATGTACAAACTTGCATGAATAAATAATAGCTGATTCAATAAAAAAAATATAGAGAGAACTGACATTGTTATTTAAAATGCACGAATTGGTCGACAGTGACCTGCACTTACCAGTGGTGGACAACACCGTGCTGGCGAAAAACAGTGCTGACGTGAAGTCCCAGTTCCAGTTGACCGAGGCGTTGTTGAGGATGGAAACCCCATAGTTGCTGGCATCCAGCGCCTTCTTCAGAAACCGCTCCAAACGCTCCTCTGTGATACAGCCGTTTTCCTGCAAGAACTGCTGTTTAACGGCTCGCAGCTCCTGTCGCAGCTGGTCCTCATAAGGCAGCTCCACCGAGGAGAAGACGACGGCCCCGAATATGAGAAAGAGGAGATACCCAAGGACCAGCGACACGAAATACCACGTCGATTTGTGGTTCTGGATCAGACGCACGCAAGAATTGCTGGCTAGAGACTGAAGCATTTTAAGAGGTCTATCACCTCACTCTTACTCTGCTAATTAGTACTGGATTTGAGTCCCTAACCTGGACGTTATTTTTCCGAGATGCCCTTCAGGAAGAGGGATGTTGTGAGACACAAAGCTTCGCCGTGGGCTCTCTTCCCCTCCGCGCAACCTGCTCTGTCGCGTGATGCTTTCAGGTGCACTCGAAAATATCAGTAAAAGCAAACAAAAGAAAGCAAGCAGAAATGCTTGGATGCCACTCTCTCCTTGTGCTGACACGAGGCACAGTTCTACTGTAGCTCGAGTGCAACATCATGTGCCCCCCTCTCTTCCCTAAACTATTCATGTTTACCTAGATTATATTCTAATAAATAAATTAAAAACAAGTGTTCTTATATCCATATGCAGCCCATACGGATATCAGGGGACAAAAGGGGGGTGACTGCTCTTTGGCAGCCAGTGGCAAGCAATTCTACTTGGGTGGTTGCAGTACCCCTGGCTCTCTATTTGGGTGCCACTGATATTGTAGCCTGTTGGACAATGTATTTTATATATATATATATATAATGAATACAAATGCTAAAGAACCCCATTTGGTTTGGAGACACAAAAGCAGATTTTTGCCTGTGTATCACTTTAGGTTTAAGTTTTCGATTAAGTTAATGTTTCTGTTACAAACAAAGTCATATTTCTCTGGCGTGCCCAAATACTAGGTCAGTATGCCCGCTTTTTGTGTTATGACGTTCTTTCTAATGTAATTACTCTATTTCCGAGCCTCAGATGGTGCTTGAAGGCATCAAGTGATGTGTCGGCGACAAAGGCCGAGTGACGTATACACCTCGTTACTTTCCTATCAGGTTATCTTTTCAGATGTCTTTCACATTCTTCTGGTTTCTTTTCAGTGTTTAAACAGCCCATTGTCGCTCATTTGTCCCAGTTAAGGTTGTTAATAGTGTCACAACGCGCGAGAACTAAGTGCCGTAGAGGATTTGGCTTTAAGGAGAACTAGCTGTTTACGAAATACGACTCGTGTGATTTCTATATAGCATATAGTATAAGTAAGTATATATAAGTAATATTTTTGAAAAAAAACACCCTGTTAACAGTGATACTGTGTGGGTATTTAAAACAAAATAAAAGACACAAAATATTGATTTTATTTCTATCCTTTTGGTTTTTCAAAACTCAAAAAAAGTTGTTTTCAGTCTAAGCAAATTAATGATCTATTAGTATCACCCCAACATCAACATACATGTACATGATGTTGACATAAAGTTTTGACTGAATAGCACAATAATGTAGGTGTTAAAAAATAACACCTACATTTATGGTCTTTTGCAATAAAAGTAGAAAGGTTTGTCACCCCTCATTCAAGAAGCATCTTAAGTTTTAACTGACTGCTGGAAATTTTCTGGTATTTAACCATGGAGAGGCTGAAAACCTGGGCTGTTGTAGTAAATAAACAGGTGACCACACCCAAAACCGAAGGAAGTGTTATGATCACAAGTGTTGAGTTGTGTATGGGGGTTTGTTAGACACTACTGGAAGATTGGTACCACTTGATTCTGACATTTCCAAGACCTGTAGTTTTTTAAGTAACCACAGTGTTACGGTAATAAGTATTGTCAATGTAGTAATAGAAATATATTCAAAACATAGTCAACGTTAGTTAAGTCACAAGCTATACTGGTTGGATTATAGATGAGAGTTTGAATAGTATTTGGGTTATTTTACCCGCAATGAATTGAAATCAAGAGAGACAGAAAATGTATGCCTCGTGTCAGACACGAAGTAGGCAACCTGACCACCAGAGGGCCTCATGATCTCATCAGATGAAGCCATAATGTCAACCCCTGGGATGACCACCGTGAATAATTTATATTCCTAATTATAGAATTTGGTTCAGTATTTTCTTTTTAATGGCACACAGCCACTCTGATTCCTCCCCGTAACAAAAGGTTGGTGTAAAACGCGACTGGGCTTGAGTGTCTTGCTCAGTGACTCATTTGCATCAAACTACACTTGTATTTGTGGATCATTTGTGGATAATTAACAAAATATGATTGAATGATTTATAAATATATAATTACTGTTGTTATTCTTATTTCATATGATCTGCTATTATATTTATCAAAAAGAAACATTTGGTATCACTCTACTAAAAATATTTTAACAGATATCTTTGTTCAAAAGCTCAAAAATTAAAGGTAAACAGTTTTTGAACAGTTGAATTTTTCAATGAAAAATACCTGATGTACCTAAATACCTAATGTACAAAAAACCCCAAATTACCTAAACCAGTGGTACTGAACTGAAACTGTTGCAATGTTTTTTTTTAAAAATGTGTATACTTTTTTCTACTTTTCGAATACAAACAATTACTCTTTGGTGTTATGGAATAAGAAATAATCACTAAATGTATTTACTGATCTCATATTAACTGATTCAATATTACAACATTGTGACATCTAAAAACATTGCACGGCCATGGCCGCGGTTGACCTATCCGAGTTGCCGTAGCAATGCAAGACTGGCACTCCTCAATGAACGTTGGAAAGATGGCGACAGCGTACGCATTAGGGAAAGTCTGCTGTGCCGGCGGAAAGAAAGTGCGCTAAAGAGACAAAAATCCGCACATTTTGCAAACATTTACCGGTGCAAAGTCTGGTTGAAACCGCGCAGACATGGTTCAGCCCATGCACAACTAGAAACAAGAAGCCACTGCTTTGCAATGGAGCCTCCGGATCGCAACAAGCCCAGCAGGTATGTCGATTTGTTGAACAGACCGTACACCATCAGGACCTAGCTGTTGCCAAATAGAGAGCCGTGCTTGACAGAACACTCGACTCTACGGTAGCGCTCGCTCATCCCTAAGAGAATACACTTCCTGTCAAATAGTGGTACGCGTGCAGTCGCAGCATTTGCAACACAGAGTTGCAAACTTTTTCGGAGCAACACATACAGGCCGTGCTGCGAATTTCTGCACATTTTAATGTTCTCATTTGCTAAAAAGGAAGGCAAAATGTCCGACAAATGCTAAGGTAACGTGACGAAATATGTATTAGAAGTGCAACATATAAAGGGAAACGGGCTAGCTAGCGTCTACTGTTAGCAGTCGGTTGTCACTTTATTGTTCACCAACAAGTTCGCAAAGAGAAAGTTAAGATAAGTGCTGCATTTGCGGGTTTAGTTACACGGCTAACGAAAGTGTGTTACGGCTAGTCTGGTATTGCAACTGCATGAATATCTTCCTTAACATGGCATTGGACACAAACTTCTGTGCGTTTAAGTTAGCCCTTACTGTTATTGTTAATAGACTTGCCGCAAGTCCTGTTGTCTCACTTTCCTCCTGAATCATGATATGTTCATTTTCTCTGACAGTGTGTGCGGTCAGTTAACGCACCTCTGTGTGTTTGCACACAATCTAGCCACTAACTTTATTATCTGATGCAAATGTATGTGCAGCAACAAATTCTTTACAGTGGTGTGCTTGGCTAAAACAAAGCTCAGAGATGTTTCTAATGTGTACATGCACAATCGAAATGTCGCAGTGTTCGCTTTTGACTGTCCGGGACAGACCCTCAGGAATCTGCTGTTGTGTCTTCCCCCCGTCCCCCTCCCCCCNTGTGACTATGAGGAGCGATCTTTTTTTTAACGTAGTACTAACGAAGTACCATGCGGTTAATATTCATTTGCAGTATCTGGTCACTAATACAACCTGACCTAAACCGTATTCCTGACCATAAAGATATAAGGGGAACATTTATTTAAAATCCAAACAGTTACTCACAGGTGTCATTTTTAAAGGGACAAATCGTGATTCCTGTAACCTCCAATTGGCTTAGTTTAGTGGAACTCTACAAGTTAACAAATTTCAGGAAATTAAACTATAAATAAACGCTATCTTATCAGGTGCCAATGCAGGTGCAGCTTCACTAAATAAGGACGCTCTGTGCTATATTGGACTGGCTAAACTTATTGCCTCAAACGTGGCTTTATCTAATTGATTGCTGGAACATACTAGTTTGTGAGCCATTGTTCTCGGAAATGTATTTGAAGTTTAGTTGAATGTAATGAAGGCACATTTAAAAGATGGTGGTTTTGACAGGTTAATCAGTTCAAAGTGTGTAATTATGTTCTATTCTTGTGGTGAAGAAAAAAGGTCACAGAAAGTTTTAACACTGACGTATTGTGCATACTTGACCTCAAACAGCTTTTGCATACGTTCACATAGTTACAACTTTTTTGAGTACGAGCAGTTATGTGCAAGTTTGGCAATTGAAGGCTAACGCTATCACAGCGAGCACAGAGGTCTATTGTCAATAGTGAAGACGTTGTGGCTGACAGGCATTCCAATGATTTCAGGATGTGGTCGTGCTGCACACAGTAAAGGGAGCCTGGGAGACGCTGGTGGAGTAGAGCTCATTAATGCCTACATTTGCCAGGAGCACAGTATGTTGGCTACAGATAGAGAGCCCTCCTGCATTTCCTATCTGCATTCATAGTCTGCCCACCCCAGGTGTAGTGAAATAAGGGCTGCTCTCACAATCTGTCACTTCCTTCTTCTCTATGGGATCTTTAAAAATGCTTAAACCATGTTGTTTGATTTAACAAATGCACTGCACTAATGTTGGAAAATAATCACAGAGAAGGCTGCCAAAGAGAGTTAAGGCCTAGTATTTAAATTGCACACAGCTGCAACATAAATGAACTTAAATTAATATATAATAGCGGGAAAAATTGTTAACTGCACTGCAGGCAGGGTGCAGTCGTCATGAGGAGAAAACATGTCATTACATTATAGTTCATGCTGCTTCCCACAGTCTGCAGCGTCTACATTTAGATTCACTCAGGTCATGTGTCTTGATGTGGTTAATGTCATGAGCTTCCACTGCTGAATTAAGTTCTGTGTCTTAGACAGAGCTTGCTTCCTGATGTTAGGCAACATATAAGGATAGATTTGTTCTCATGAAATGCCCTGATTGCTAATCCCTTAGAGTCTGAGCATATAAATATCTTTTTATGTACACTCACAGCTTTTTCGAAAAACCAAAACCCAGAGTTTTGTGTATTCATTGTGCAATGCACAACTGCACATTGAAGAGATCCAGAGGTCCACCTCCTAACATTTCAGCGCTGCTCCATAGGAGGGTGTGGTTAAGTGTGGCGTGTGCATTGTTTTTCAATTCAGTAAGCCTATGGCACACATTGTGATCCCTGCAACAGCTCGGCCTGTTCATCAGGAATGTACTGCAGCTCTGGCAGGCACACAGCGTGCACATGAACCTCACTTGTATTAAAATATTGGGACGCATGCACCGTGCACAGGCTGGTTTTACAGTCTCGTCGCCTCAGCATTTAACCTCGTGCTGTCGTTACAAGGCAGCAGACACATCCTGTTTACTGTGTAAATGTAAGTAGTGGTGGTGGTGATAGTAGAGGGGTGTAAATGAAAAGCTGGATTTAATCCACCGAGCATCAGTTATGACCTGATTAGTGGAAACTCTGTTCTTGGAAACCTTGGCCTCTTTTTTTTTTCCTCCCCTCCCCTCGCC